AATGACTGCTGCGCTTGACAGGGCGCATGAGAAGAGAGAGAGAGAGCACCCGGCCGCGCGTGCGCACTCTCACGTCTTCAAACAACACGAGCGCTGTCTTGCTCTCTCTCCCTCGCGCATATTATTTATATATTTAAACACAACATTAACGTGAACGACGGTTTTACCAAGAATATTTTTGCACGTAAAAAAAAAAAAAATTGATATTGCGTTTTTGAAAATCGATACAGTATTGCCAAATAAAATATCGCGATACTCGAGTGTATCGATTTTTTCTTACACCCCTACTATTTACTTATGTTTTCAAATTGCCTGTGTTTTTTTTTTTTTTGTCTCGATCGGACTAATGGTCTTCGAAGATAACAGTAATTTTTTTAAGCTCTAAATGACACGTTACAAAACCAAAAGGCAAAACCTGGCATGTTTGGTATTGTTGGACTCGGCAAGGATTCAGGAGTATAGGGAGGTCACTCCCGTGAAAAAACGCTGGCTTGAAAAGTCTCAGGCTCCTTCAGGGCATTATGCCGATGACGTATACTGAGTTTTTGAGATACAGCAATGTTCTTATAGATTATCAAGGTACCCTGGACAAAGACACTGCATGCCATCTTTCATTAGACTAACGTTTGGATGCGGTTATAACCATTGTCATGATTTTTTTCCATGTTATAGCGCCACCAAGTGGCCAATCGTCGCAATTTTTTTCATGTGACCTCAGATTGTGCTCATGAACATGTGTCCCAAATTTAGCGAAAATATCTCTTTCCGTTCACAGGTTATAACCATTTTAGTAAAAGTGGCTCTGGTGCCATCAAACGTTTTGGTTCCCCTTAGCGACCGACAATTGAAATTAAATTTTTTTTTGATGATTATTAACAATCAGACTCCAGAGAATATTTCTGCAGTGGTTTGGTTGCGATCAGGCCAAAAACCTAGGACTAGTTCGCAAAAGTAGGTTTTTGGAAAAACCCAAAATACCCGAAAATGTACCCAGGGTGACGAGTTAATCCGAGGCAGGTATCTTGTCCGGCTTGAGCCAAGGATTCCAACGATGTAAGACACTTGAGCCTACGCCTAACGGTTGAGGAGTTATGAGCCGTTTCGTACTTTTGGCCGCTGTAGCGCCACCTATGGGCCAATCGGGGCGGGCCTTGGTGACGTTGTAGGCGGTGTGAGTACTACCAGCCCCCAAAGTTTCAAAGCTCTACGACTTACGGTTCGTTCTGCCCGATCAGTTTTATGTCTGAATGTTGCATCATGGGAAAATTAACAATAACAATAGGGTTTCAGCACTTCGTGCTTGAACCCCTAATAATGGCCTAAAAAAGGGCCACAAAAAGGCCTCTAAAAAAAAAACCATAGGGTCTAGGCACTTGCCGCTTGCGCTGCTGCGTTCCAAAAACTTTATCAAGCCTTTTAACATGTGCCTCGGAGAGGAAAAAGTAAGTTTTCTGCCCTTTTAGCTCGTTTATCATGGAAATGTGGTGATTTTTTTTTTTACCTTTTAAACTGTGACACCTCCACTGATGGCCCGATCTCCATAAAAGTTTGCACGCTTCTTTAGAATAATATGGCGCACGTGCTCAGCTAATTTGGTGAAGTTCTGAGCAGAGCAGACCATTTTTCAGTCATTTAAATGTCATTTTGCGTAGGATATTATGGAGCATTTTTTCACCTTTATAGCAGTTAAAGCGCCACCGATGGCCCGACGTCCATAAAAGTTTCCAAGCCTCTTTAGGATCAGGTGACGCATGCGCACGCCCGGTTTTGTGAGGTTGTATGCAAATCAGGCAGGAAGAGGGCCGCTTTTAGCCATTTCATGGGATTTGCCATTGAAAAAACATCATTTTGACACCTTTTTAACAGTTATAGCGCCACCAAGTGGCCAGTCGCCGCGTCCTTTTTCAGGCGACCACAGAATGAGCTCTTACACAGGTGCGCTGAGTTTGGTGAAAATATCTCGTTCCGTTCACGAGTTATAGCCAATTTAGTAAAAGGGGCTCCTCCCACTCGGAACGTTTTGGCGTCCCTTAGGGACCGTGAACCGAAATTTCCACTTTTTTTTGATAATTATTGACATTCAGACTCCATAGAATCTCGCTGCACTGGTTTGGTTCCGGCCGGGCCAAAAACCTAGGACTAGTTCGCAAAAGTAGGTTTTTGGAAAAACCCAAAATACCCGAAAATGTACCCAGGGTGACGAGTTAATCCGAGGCAGGTATCTTGTCCGGCTTGAGCCAAGGATTCCAACGATGTAAGACACTTGAGCCTACGCCTAACGGTTGAGGAGTTATGAGCCGTTTCGTACTTTTGGCCGCTGTAGCGCCACCTATGGGCCAATCGGGGCGGGCCTTGGTGACGTTGTAGGCGGTGTGAGTACTACCAGCCCCCAAAGTTTCAAAGCTCTACGACTTACGGTTCGTTCTGCCCGATCAGTTTTATGTCTGAATGTTGCATCATGGGAAAATTAACAATAACAATAGGGTTTCAGCACTTCGTGCTTGAACCCCTAATAATGGCCTAAAAAAGGGCCACAAAAAGGCCTCTAAAAAAAAAACCATAGGGTCTAGGCACTTGCCGCTTGCGCTGCTGCGTTCCAAAAACTTTATCAAGCCTTTTAACATGTGCCTCGGAGAGGAAAAAGTAAGTTTTCTGCCCTTTTAGCTCGTTTATCATGGAAATGTGGTGATTTTTTTTTTTACCTTTTAAACTGTGACACCTCCACTGATGGCCCGATCTCCATAAAAGTTTGCACGCTTCTTTAGAATAATATGGCGCACGTGCTCAGCTAATTTGGTGAAGTTCTGAGCAGAGCAGACCATTTTTCAGTCATTTAAATGTCATTTTGCGTAGGATATTATGGAGCATTTTTTCACCTTTATAGCAGTTAAAGCGCCACCGATGGCCCGACGTCCATAAAAGTTTCCAAGCCTCTTTAGGATCAGGTGACGCATGCGCACGCCCGGTTTTGTGAGGTTGTATGCAAATCAGGCAGGAAGAGGGCCGCTTTTAGCCATTTCATGGGATTTGCCATTGAAAAAACATCATTTTGACACCTTTTTAACAGTTATAGCGCCACCAAGTGGCCAGTCGCCGCGTCCTTTTTCAGGCGACCACAGAATGAGCTCTTACACAGGTGCGCTGAGTTTGGTGAAAATATCTCGTTCCGTTCACGAGTTATAGCCAATTTAGTAAAAGGGGCTCCTCCCACTCGGAACGTTTTGGCGTCCCTTAGGGACCGTGAACCGAAATTTCCACTTTTTTTTGATAATTATTGACATTCAGACTCCATAGAATCTCGCTGCACTGGTTTGGTTCCGGCCGGGCCAAAAACCTAGGACTAGTTCGCAAAAGTAGGTTTTTGGAAAAACCCAAAATACCCGAAAATGTACCCAGGGTGACGAGTTAATCCGAGGCAGGTATCTTGTCCGGCTTGAGCCAAGGATTCCAACGATGTAAGACACTTGAGCCTACGCCTAACGGTTGAGGAGTTATGAGCCGTTTCGTACTTTTGGCCGCTGTAGCGCCACCTATGGGCCAATCGGGGCGGGCCTTGGTGACGTTGTAGGCGGTGTGAGTACTACCAGCCCCCAAAGTTTCAAAGCTCTACGACTTACGGTTCGTTCTGCCCGATCAGTTTTATGTCTGAATGTTGCATCATGGGAAAATTAACAATAACAATAGGGTTTCAGCACTTCGTGCTTGAACCCCTAATAATGGCCTAAAAAAGGGCCACAAAAAGGCCTCTAAAAAAAAAACCATAGGGTCTAGGCACTTGCCGCTTGCGCTGCTGCGTTCCAAAAACTTTATCAAGCCTTTTAACATGTGCCTCGGAGAGGAAAAAGTAAGTTTTCTGCCCTTTTAGCTCGTTTATCATGGAAATGTGGTGATTTTTTTTTTTACCTTTTAAACTGTGACACCTCCACTGATGGCCCGATCTCCATAAAAGTTTGCACGCTTCTTTAGAATAATATGGCGCACGTGCTCAGCTAATTTGGTGAAGTTCTGAGCAGAGCAGACCATTTTTCAGTCATTTAAATGTCATTTTGCGTAGGATATTATGGAGCATTTTTTCACCTTTATAGCAGTTAAAGCGCCACCGATGGCCCGACGTCCATAAAAGTTTCCAAGCCTCTTTAGGATCAGGTGACGCATGCGCACGCCCGGTTTTGTGAGGTTGTATGCAAATCAGGCAGGAAGAGGGCCGCTTTTAGCCATTTCATGGGATTTGCCATTGAAAAAACATCATTTTGACACCTTTTTAACAGTTATAGCGCCACCAAGTGGCCAGTCGCCGCGTCCTTTTTCAGGCGACCACAGAATGAGCTCTTACACAGGTGCGCTGAGTTTGGTGAAAATATCTCGTTCCGTTCACGAGTTATAGCCAATTTAGTAAAAGGGGCTCCTCCCACTCGGAACGTTTTGGCGTCCCTTAGGGACCGTGAACCGAAATTTCCACTTTTTTTTGATAATTATTGACATTCAGACTCCATAGAATCTCGCTGCACTGGTTTGGTTCCGGCCGGGCCAAAAACCTAGGACTAGTTCGCAAAAGTAGGTTTTTGGAAAAACCCAAAATACCCGAAAATGTACCCAGGGTGACGAGTTAATCCGAGGCAGGTATCTTGTCCGGCTTGAGCCAAGGATTCCAACGATGTAAGACACTTGAGCCTACGCCTAACGGTTGAGGAGTTATGAGCCGTTTCGTACTTTTGGCCGCTGTAGCGCCACCTATGGGCCAATCGGGGCGGGCCTTGGTGACGTTGTAGGCGGTGTGAGTACTACCAGCCCCCAAAGTTTCAAAGCTCTACGACTTACGGTTCGTTCTGCCCGATCAGTTTTATGTCTGAATGTTGCATCATGGGAAAATTAACAATAACAATAGGGTTTCAGCACTTCGTGCTTGAACCCCTAATAATGTGATTGGTTGATTAAAAGGGTTTAAAAATGAATAACATGGGCTACATGAAGTACAATTCCTAGCCTACAGGTCTGCTTACCTCACTTCCCTCTGAGAGCCGTGCTTCACCATCAGATCTATGAAGACGGACCACAGGTCTGTGCGTTTGGGGTAGGTACTCAGGACCTTGTCAAACATGGATTTGCCTCTCTCAGTATTCCCATACTGAAACTCCAACCGGGCAAATTTGGCAATCAGGTCCACGTCTGGAAAGGTAGTGAGGAAACAATGCATGAGCTGCTAACAGGCAACCTGGAGGGTCTGGATGTCATTTAAACAGCTCTTTCAGATTCCCACAGAGATGACATGTAGCTGGCACTCACGATCTTTATTGGACAGGCTCTGCAGCGCCTTCTGAAGGAGGGCATTTGTAGCGTCGCTCTGACGCTGGCGTAGCAGGAAGGTGCCGTAACTCAGATATACAGATTTCTCCTGTCTGAAGCGTTTCACCATGTTTTTATAAAGACTCTCAGCCTCCTACACACACACAGGATACAAAAAGTTTAATACCGTGATACAGTTTCAACTTTGATGTAACTAACCGACCAACAAAACAACTTGGGATACACAATATATTGGTGGCCATATTAGTATAACCCAATATTAGAAAAAAAATCCTTTTTTTTAAAATTGACTGATACTGAGAACAGATGTGGCCAATATAAGGACTTGTTTTTGATTTCCAAAGAAAGAAATATTTAGCCATATTGGCATTTCATGCACTACATTGTATTGTTGTTCTGATGGCTTGTAAGCATGCGTTTATGTTTTAGCTTTTTTAATAAATTGATGTATAAATTGTTTAAAAAGAGACTTTTATACCAGTCAACATATTTACACTACCATTCAAAGGTTCAGGGTTGGTGATTTTTTTTTTAAATGTTTGAAACCAGGATGCATTTTTTTAAATAAATACAGTAAAACATTAATATTGTGACATTACCATTTTCTATTTGAATATACATTAAAATGTAATTCATTCCTGTGATGCAAAGCTGAAATTTCAGCAACATTCCTCCAGTCTTCAGTGTCACATGATCCTGTTTCCCTTCATTATCAATGTTGAAAACAGTTGTGCTTAATATTTCTGTGGACATTTTCTTTTCATTATTCTCCGAATTATCTATTCTCAGAAAGTTCAAAAGAACAGCATTTATTTGAAATAGAAATCCTTTGTAAGATTATAAAAGTCTTCACTGTCACTTTTGATCAATTTAATGCATCCTTGCAATAAAAATTATTTATAAAAAAACAAATTACAGACCCCTTATTTTTGAATGGGAGTGTAATATAAAATGTTGGTCATACCACCCAACCCCTACCCACATCACATCAGTGCGTCCCAACTAACAACCAATCAGATCACGTCACCAGACATAATGCTCACTTTGATCTTGTCCGACTTGGCATAAACGTCGGCAAGCTGCTGGTACACAGGAAGAGGTTCACAGTATTGGATGGCCCGTTCAAAGATTTTCTGCAAACTGTCTGGTGTCCCGTACATGTTCTCCAGATTCAGCATGGCCACCCACACGTTCAGCTTTTCCTGTTCCTCTCTAAACCCACAAACAAACTGGTTAATAGTTGTAAAATTTGATTTAATTCGGATGTTTTTCAAAACATTTATGCTAAAAGGGGGCAGAGCAACACATATATAATCCTTTAATTAAAAGTGTAATTTCTTTACAACTACACTCAGTGGAATCGAAGACAATAATGACTGCTTTCAAACAGGTTTCCTGAAGCAGTTTGTCCATAGGTTGTATTTATTTAATGGCAAAAGGGCTTGACATTTCAGCAGTGGTGTTTAAGGCAATCACTCCTACTAGCCACTTTGGCGGGCTGAATTTTATAAAATACATTTTTTAATAGTACTTTTTTTAAAAAGCTAGATACTATAGACACTAAAATATATCTGAAAGTCTTCCGCAGGATACACAATACCAGCTGCGCGTTCTCACTCGTTTCATTTGCTCTGGATGAATATCGTTTCTGTTACATGGCTTGAATTTCGGTGTGGGATTATGCATATTGACCATAATTTTACTCATTCCCGCTAATTTTGTGCTCACACCCAAAGAACGTGCACATAAAGACAAGTATATTGGCTATATAAAACAGTATAATGGATCCAGCAGCCTAATATACCGGCTGCCAAATTATGAGATAATATAAAAAAATATCTATATGGCAGTTTTTCCCTATGGTATCGATGTCAGTGTGGCCAGCGAACATGCTGAGTGGCTAGTAACTTTGGAAAACCACAAGCCACAGTGGCTGGTGAGCAAAAAAAGTTAATGTCAAGCCCTGAATGGCAACCATACAAACTAAAGTGTTTCACCTGAAGGAGATGGTTTTGAGGGCTCTCTCTGCGACTGCGCGCGCCTGCTCGATCTCCGTGGCCTGCAGATGGAAAGCCATGTACTGCAGCCAGAGGAGGGAGCTGTCCGGAGACGACAGGAGCAGACGCTCAAACGCCGTGTAGCTGTCGGGTCGTACAGACGTGTCCATGAGCTCCGTCTCCAGCTTGCTGAGCCGCTGCTCCGAATTCTGCTGCTCCTGCTTTAACTCTTTACGGGACTTTTTCACAGGCTGGAGAGAAAGAGTAGCCGTTTATGGTGTGTTTGCAGGCAATGCTTTGTAAAAAAAATATAATTTTTTCTAAGTTGTAAATCAAACAGATTATTGTGGAGCAAGTACTTTTTCAGTTTTTCTACTTCAAAATTTCATGTTTAATTCAATGCGTTTCTTGCCGTTTCTTTGTGAAATTTATTAGTAATTTTTGAGTGAAAATTGTTTCACAATTTCTTTTCAGTGTGTGCACCTTTAACCTTAATTTTTTTCTCTGCTGTGATATTTAATAGTCTACATGGGAGCAACTTAATTTTGATGCAATCCATGGCTCAAGAGCGGGAATGAATGCACCTTTCATTACAATTTATTTATTTATAAACATATCTTTATTACGAGGATTAACCCCTTGAGATGAAACATCTCGTTTTCGAGGGGGTCCTCCAATACATCAAAGCAAAAAAAGAACCAAAACAGCAGAGCAAATGTCAAAAACAGTACAACAAAACACAACAACACACACACCAGCTCATAATGCTCAACCCCACCCCACCCAACACGATCCCCATAGATAAAATGACAGAAAAACAACCACATAACTAGCATTGCACAAGGTCAAGGAGTAAGAGTAACACAAAAAAAAAAAAAAAAAAAAAAAACATTGAGGATAAGAATTACAATAATAATAAATAAATGAATAAAAATGAAGACATAAAAATTAGAAATAGTAAACACATGGCCAATGAAGCCCATGGTCCAACAAACAAAACTAGAAACAAAGACATATTACGAAGATATTCCACGAGGGCCCTTCGAAAAGCTGTAAGTGAAGTTAAAGAACGGATAAAAAGAGGAAGATTGTTCCAATCATATGGAGCCTTAAAACAAAATGCATATTTCCCTACTTGTCTTTTAACTCTAGGAACAATTGCAAGCGCTCTGTCCCCTAGAGTGACATGGTGATCGCAAAAAAACAAAACAAAAAACTTTTGCATCCCCCAAGAAACGTTCTGTTCGTTTGTAAAAAAAGAAAAGAAATTGCGCCCCCTGAGAAACTTTGCGTTCCTCCAAAAAACGTCTGTTCGCAAACCTTTTGCATTCCCCAGAGAAACTTTTGCGTCCTCCTTAAAGAAACTTTGCATTTGTTCGCACAACTTTTGCGTCCTCCATAAAGAAACTTTGCATTTGTTTACAAAAGTTCTGCGTTCCACCATGAAAATTTTAGGGATGCACGATGATATCGGGACAACATCGGTATCGGTCGATAAAAGCTTTAAATGACCATCATCCGCATCGGCCGATATGAATATTTCTGCCGATGAGTCTTGCCGATAGGGTGGCGTGTTTCCTATGCGCACGTGACGACCGTGAACGAAGCATGAGCGCCAGCAACTTAAACTTCCAACTAGGGGTGTGCCGTGCATCTCACGGTTTTTGATCGTGGACGATTAAAATGTCTCCACGATCTGCTTTTGAAGAAAAATCATAGTATCGTGCATTCTATCAGTTCAATTCTGGCGCCTTCATCTCAACATACTGTACAACGTGACGTACATTCACATCACATCACATGTAAAGGCAGAGGTAGAGTTACACTCACGGGACACCGCAATTCACAAAAGTTCATTATTTGCATGTGCGTCAAAGTCTTGCTAGGTAAACATGTCATTCACGTGCTGATGCGCTGTTCTAACATCCGCTTTTCTGAGCGCGTTACACACGACGCTCACTGGAACTAAAGCCTGTCACAGCACCTGCATACTGGACTAATCTTTCGAGTCTTATTTGCACTGATACTGTCAAATACACACAAGGTTTACATAAACAAAGTTGGTTATGTCTAAAGTGAAAGCAAACAGAGAAAATCTGCTTGTCAAATGCGTGTATATTAGATGTGTCGCGTGCAGCTCTTAAAGAGACAGTAATAATATGCTGCCGCTTGTCCTTAAAGAGATACTGCACCCAGAAATAAAAATTCTGTCATTATTTACTCACTCTAATGTTGTTCCAAACCTGTATTCATTTCTTTCTTGTGCTTAAATATACTATGGAAGTCACTGAAGTACAGCAACTGTTTGGTTAGCCACATTCTTCCAAATAACTTTTATAATTTCAACAGAAGAAAGAAACTTGAGAGAGTAAATGATGACAATTTAAATTTTTGGGAGAACTATCCCATTAATGTTAATAAAACAACAAAACACAGAGGAAATCACTCACTGCTCTTGACTGAGAACTTTAATAGAAGCTTTAATAAGCTTTTTTTGCACTTAAAAAAAATACAAATATATCGGTATCGGCATCGGGCAAAATTAGTTTGAAAATATCGGCATATCGAATATCGGCCAAAATCCTATATCGTGCATCCCTAGAAAATTTGCGTTTGTTCGTCAATTTTTGCGTCCCCCTTTATTTTCAAGACTTTTGCGTTCCCTTTGGAAAGGTGGTGTTCAGTTGCAAAATGTTCCTGTTCTCCTTTTGTGATGGAAACAATAAAGGGTGGAAGTAAAAACTCTATTTCAGTGCGAACACAAGGATTCTCAGTGAACGCAAAAGCTTTGGAATGCGATTCTTTCCTTCCATTTCATATTTTTGTACATCACCATGTCCCTTTGGGGGATCAGTACAATAGTCTACACGGGAGCAATTTAGTTTTGATGCACGTGTGAGTTCACCTTGCTCGTGACTTCCTGCTCATCCTCACTGGATTCAAGGGTGTCGTCTACTGCGGCGAAAGGTGTTAAAGATCCCAGCGTTGATTCCCATGGAAAGCCAAATGTCACCTGCAGCCGTTTTGGTTCTGTTTCCTCATGCTTACCCTAAACATTCAGACAACAGTTGCGTTACATATCAGAGAGGAAGTTGATTACCTATATCTCGAAATATTCAATCATATTGTTCTGAAAAGAGATGCGTCACCTTTACTTGGCCACACTTTTTATCCAATGTAGTTTCTTCCTTCTCTCTGAAAAACACATCTACACCACTGTCACTGTCCTCGGTTTTTGTTTTCTTTTTCTTCTTCTTCTTCTCTTTTACGGGTTTCTTCTCTTCTGTGCGTTCTCCCTTCACTGGGCATTCTTCATCTTTTTTCCTTTTTATCTTCTGTCCAACTGTCTCATCGTCTTGTTGCTACAGGGATAAAACACAGGGTCACATCCATCCTCTTCAAAACAAAGAGTCAAACACAAACACACACACACTTACTTGGCTCTCAGAAAGAGCTCGTTTCCTCTTGGCAGTTTTTTCGTCATATTTCACTTTCTTCTCTCCTGTCAGACGTATTTTTAGATCAAGAGATTTTGGAAGAAGATCTGGTTTCCCAGTGTCCCCCGACAGGAGCGACAGGTTCACGTGGCTGTTCTCTGCGTTCACACTGAAACGTAAATTCATTTATATGAAAAAAATATATATTAAAAATGATTCACAAAATAACTAGGTTATTTTCAGTGAAATGAAAGGCTAGATTAGGACTTCATATGAAGTTAGAAAAACATTACCTGAGAACCTTGGCCGTCACCAGTGCATTCAGGGTAATGTATTCGGAAACAGATTTTGGGTCGTTCATGAAGTATTTTGTAGCGTGTTGGAACTGAACTCTTCCAGTGATGGCCCTTGATAACCTTTCATAAAAGAAAATTTTTTTTAGTTCAACTCAGGAGACTAGAATGGCTTCATTAATAATATGTGCATTAAAAGATGCTATACCTCACAAATATGCCTTTATCGTTAATAGACGTCACATATCCTCGGATAATCTGGCCCTCTTTTATATCGGAAATTGACTCAATGTCTGGGTCTGTAATATCTTGCTGGTCCTTATGCAATCTGCAGAAAGGGAAGAATGAATAAATAATAATAATACAAATTAATTAATTGTCAAAAATTTTCAAGTCAGAGGTCACTCTTCCGAACTAGACTCGCTTACGGCTGTTATCGGAAGCCAGTGATTTTAGTTTATAAAGTTATTATAAATATGGATATGTTTCTTACAAAACACATCGCTTCGCTTCAGAAGGCCTTTATTAACCCGTTGGAGACGTATGTATTACTTTTATGATGGATGGATGCTCTTTTATGGGCTTCAAAAAATAAGGTAACATTCACTCCCATTATAAAGCTGGGAAGAGCCAGGATATTTTTTAATATAACTCCGATTGTGTTTGACTTTCATTTTTGGGTGAACTAACTGTAATAATTATTGAATTGCAAATCAGACTATTATTGTTACAGCTACCATTTATTAAAAAATCATTACTGTCTGTCATTATAACATTATTGTCAATGTAATATTTCATTAGGTAATGTAGTAAGTTGTCATTTTATTTGTATGTATTGTCCTCTTGTAAGGAAAGTTTTAGCTTTTGATTTTCAATAAAAACATAGAAATGTCCAATAAAAATAAAACAATAAAATAAAAATAGATAAATAAATGTAATGGCTGAAAAGGTCATCATGTTTCAAAAGTGATTTGCAGATCTTCAACCAGTTTGTTCTCATTTTTTAAAAGACACTTGATAATATACCTGGAGGGGCGTAATGAAACGCTGAAGTTCCTCTCTTTAACCTCCTCAGTAATATAGCACCTGGAAAAAAAGACATGCACACACACATTTTAGAGCTTCCTTGTAGGAAAAATCCTGAAGACATTCATCACAAACAATTCCAGCTAGGTCACGACTCATGACTCACCGGACTAGTTGGCCCTGTTTGTAGGGCTCCAGTGGGTTGTCTGCATATGCATCGGAGAGATCCGTTACCGAAGCAAAACCCCAATTCTCAAATGGGAGATGAAGCGACAATCCCTGGTGAGGCTCAACTTTCCGAACCGTCGCCATAGTGACCAACCCTTGCTCCAGCTTGTACATCCCTACAGCAACGGCACACACAGGAAATGCTAAAGAGACTCGAGGGACGATTGCTACGTGCGTCATGACGGCAGGAGCGCAACATCAAGTATAATGTGACTCAGCGTTTGTTATAACAAGGAGAAAATATGCGCTAGGAAATCTCCTCGGACAGAGTGTAGTTATGACTCCAGATAAAACGACAAGTAATACCTGTGAGTGACAGAGAAAGTCGTAGTTGAGTCTTGTTGAAACTAACACCAACAACCTTAGCAGAAACGGTCTGTCCTGGTTTAAACAGCTTCTTTGGTTGATTAGCTTGCTGTGGGAAAACAAATGTGAAAGTAAGTTATAGCTTGTTTGTTACCACATTCATTTAACGCGGACCTATTACCGGTCTGCCCTTTGTTCATAAACATTATTTCTCATATATTTGACATTGTTGCAGCACCTCTCTTCCCAGTCTGTCAGTAACGCTCTGTTTAGTTCCAGTCTATGAAGCCCCTCCTTCTGAAAAGCACAGTGTGCTCTGATTGGGCGGCTGGACCAGTGTGTTGTGATTGGTCAACCGCTTCCAGCGTGTTTGGGAAATGTCACGCCCCTTACCATAACAGTGAGTTTCAACACACTATAACTCAACATAACCAAGCCTCGCATATTTTTTTTTTCATATGCCTTTGGCGGGAATTATTTAAATGAGGAAAATTTGTTGTGTTTGTTCTCGGAAGATACTCAAGACTACAATCGGGGCGTTTCAGGGAATTCAGAAACAGTGCGCACTGATATAGAGAATAACTCCCTTTGGAGTGACTTTGTGCTTTGTAACTTTGCAGACCTTTTTCATGTTCAAACAGAAACATTACACCCTAAAGAAAGTTGAAAATGTAAAAAAATAAAATAATAATAGGTCCTCTTTCAATGCAGTTAATCAGCGCATAATGCATTAAAAATGACTTTTAGGAGTAAACTAAAAAAGTAATAATTAATAATAATTTACCATTAAATTTCTCAAGAAATTAACATATGTTCCCGTTTATTTAATTTACTGCCAAATACAGATGAAATACTTTTTGTAAGAGCAACGCAATCTTGCAACACGTTGCTTTTAAAATACTACATTTAACAAGCAAGAAAAACGAATTGATCGAGTCTCACCCCAGGTTTTTTAATCATGGCTAACAGCTCAACGGTTCCAGTGAGGTTGGGCTTCACATCAACTTCCAACATTTTTTTTCCTTCGTTGTACTGAAAAAAAAAGGAAAAAAATTACTTCAACAGTTCATGCAGTTTTTAAATTATATTTGCTGTTCTTCAGATTCCAAAAGGTACCGTTGACGGGAAGCACAAGACTTCATCTCCAGGTGTGAAGTTTGTCTCAACTGACTGCTTGTCACCAGCTTTCAGTGTTCTGAAATAGAAAGAGTAAGAGTGAAGTCTGCAGAACCGCAAAACAACGAATATAAAACGCACAAAGACAGCAAATGTTTGTTGCAACTGTTGCCATATGCTGCTTTCTCACATATATTAATGTATGGAGAGCTGTAGCAACGTATACCTGGGCAGAAGACTGAGTTCAGGTATGGAAACACCATAGTCGGGGTGAGAGATTGCCAGGAAACTGTTGACAGAGAATATTTCATGAGAATAATCAACTAAAATCAAAGCTTTGCCAAATAAAAATTGTTTCATGCTACCCAAATATCAAATAAAACAATGTCAAAAGTCCATAAAACCTGACATTATCACTATAGCACCAATGAAAAGTGTTGTTTTATGCATTGATGTTTTTAACACTTTTCTCATTTGACAACTTCTTTTAAATAAAATTAACACTCGTCAAGTGTCAATGAGTAAAAAGTGCCTTTGGCAAGAAAATAAAACAAGTCTGAACTGCAACATTAAAATGTTTTGCAATCAAATTCAATCAAATTACAAGAATGATCATTATTTTTCTTCCCTCCAAAACTTCATGTTGCAACATGTGGCATATTCCTCACATTGAGCCACAAAAATTAAACAAACTATGAGCAAAATTATATAATACGAAATATTATGAGTCATTGGAAAAGATGCAAATAGAAAAACAGTCAAATAAACCCATTGTGCCATAAACCAGCAAAATAAAATTCAATACAAAATTAAAGCATTTAAAAATAAATGAAATACAAAAACGTAATTAAAAATAAAAATAAATACAATTGAAAACTATTTTACAAAATAAACCCAAATCATTTAAATAAATAAAAAATAATATATATATATACAGTATATATATATATATGAGTAGAAAGGCAAAATACATGAAAATACAGAAATCGGTGCTACCTGAATAAAGAAAGCATAGAAAAATGCTGCCGTCTTCCCTTTTGCCAAATAGGCAGGAAAATTTCAACACCCATAATGCACTGGGCATGTTGCTATCCCCCAGTCTCATTTACCAGAGTCAAACAGAGCCTTGCTTTAATAGGTTATACTTCTTAGCAAACTTTTAGTCATAATGATGCAATGAATTTAAAGAGTAAATGTTTAGACCCCAAACTTTTGAATGCTAGTATTTCATGAGAACTTAAAGATAATGCTTAAAGTGATAGTTCACCCAAAAAATTTAATTCTGTCATCATTTACTCGCCCTCAAGTTGTTTCAAACCTGTATGAATTGCTGAACACAGAAGAAGATATTTTGAAGAATGTCGGTAACCAGACAGTTGATGGACCCCATTGACTTCCATAGTATTTTTTTTTCCTACTATAGAAGTCAATGGGGTCCATCAACTGTCTGGTTCCCGATATTAAACCCTCTGTCGATCCTACTGTCTGTCTGTCGCGCAGGGATATAAAAATACGGAAATAGAATCTGCAGTTTTCACGAAAGCCCTGAAGCGGTCAAAAGGCTTAGGCTGGAAAATAGGGGTGAATTTCTCGGCCCAGGTAACACTGAGAACGACTAAACATTAGGGGTGTAACGATATTCGAACCGAACCGAAAAACCGCGATACAGAACACACGATTCGAATCGCGATACACGATTCACGCCCCGCCCCGCCCCCTGCTAATCCCGGCCCCGCCCAGCCCAGCCCGGCTCAATGGACCTCATGTCTTGTGTACAGTACACAACGAATTCAGTTTTGTAGCCTAACCACCATTAACACCAAATAACAAGCTCCGTGTTTTGTTACTTTCGATAATAAGCAAGGTGTAATCTTTCAAATTCTGTCTATTTGATCACGAAATTCAAACAATAAATGGCGTTTTGGCGCTCTTTGATGTGGCGTGACAGATCGCTGTATGCCTACTAAGCTCCTCATTTCAAGCGGCAGCGCTGCGCGCGGGTAAACGCGATCATCTCTTCCTCAGTTACAGAATGGACACCTGAAGGTATGTTGAAAGATGCAGTATACTTACTGAAAGGCATCATAACTCGTGTAATCGCTCAATCAGTGTTTCAGCAGCGGAAAGACGTCAATAAAACAGCATAGCTTGTCACTAGCATTATATTTACTTCAACAGGCAAGTGATTCAGTGTCCACAACTTTGGTTCCTATAAATGAACTCTTGCACTAAATAAATGCACCATGTTAGCCTATATATTATATTTTACTTAACCTGTTAATGATATCTTGATTATTTAATGTATGTTTAAAATATCTTTCATGAAAATGACAACTGTGTAAAGTATTATATTTCAATAACAAATTAGAGTAAAAACACAAGTTAATGCAAAAACTGCCTTATGTTCAGTTTACATGTTTTCATTCAATGTGTTGTGTGTTGATTATTATATCTAAAAAATAAATAGCATCTGAATTTAGGTTAAAACTCTAGGCTACAACCTTTAATGTTATAGTAATTAGCAGATTTTTTTTTTAATCCTTGTGAAACGTTTAATTGTAATTGAATTAATTTAAAGACAAAGATACTTTTTTCGTTAAACCACTGTTTAAAAAAAGAAAGAAAAAAAAGAAGCAATTTTAGCTTTCTAAACCGAACCGAACCGAGACGTCAAAACCGTGGGAAAACCGAACCGTCAATTTTGTGTATCGTTACACCCCTACTAAACATTGTTCATTTACATATTCTAGTACCAACATTGTAACAACACAAAAGTGATTGAAAATCGGCGAAGTAACACAGCTGTATTTACTTGTGACCACGAATTGTGTGCCCTCCAATCACTCTGGCTTCGACCTCGGTCCCGACCTTCAGGGATGATGTTGGGAAGCTGCCGACCGCAGGAGACTCCTCTATCTGAGACACATGGATACTTCCTGTGGTCCCCGACGGCAGCGTCACCAGCACGTTCATGGGCTTCAACTTCTTTACTGTGACCGTCATCACTTCCCCAAGAATGAGCTCACGGGATGGACGTTTGCTCTTGGATTTAGGCTGCTTGTGTTTGGTATCAGGGTGCTGGAACGCTACAAGAGGAAGTCCTCCTAATTCCTCGCTGCTCGGGTCCTCCACGGTCACATTCAGATGGGAACCAACTGAAAACTTCTTTGAATCCAAGATGTTATTTAAGTGAGTCTTAAGGGGAATGATGGTCAGGTGACCAGTGTCACCCAATGAGACGACAGCAAAGTCTTTATCGGTGTACTGGATTGTTGCAGTGAACGTGGAGTCCTTTGTCAACTGATGAAAAACACAAAGGATCAACTTTAACAGACTTTCCTGAACAAGTCAGACGCTGTGGATATTCAGAGCTGTAAGTATTGCTTACCTTCTTCTTGTTCGTGATCAACTTAGGAAGCAGCGACACGTGGACCTCAGACTTTAAAGGGTCAACATGGAGAATCACTGCGCTGAATTTGCAGCCCGGAGTCACATTCACGCCTGAAACATTTACACAAATCTAGTTAGGCGAGAACTAGCATGTTATCCATCCATGTAAAGATCTGCACATGTACATACAACCACTTTTTGAAGTTTTAAAGGCCGTTTATATGCTTTTTCAGTCCAGACATGTAGACAGTCCAATATGAGCAATAATCGGTTTACGGTTATTATGAGTATAATATGAGTAATAATGGGAACCAAACCATATAAGACATTCAGTTCTAATGGAAGTTCATGAACATTTCTATTCTTCCGCTGATGCTGAACAGTGTTTTTCTTGTAAACTAAAGTGATTAAAAGTTGTTTTCAGTCATTGAAATAAAGCTGAAATAACATAATAAAAATATTAGATTAAAAACTTAAACGAAAATTATAAATGTTACCCAACGCAACTAAGTGAAATAATTTTGTGTACTAAAATAACTAAGATAATTGAAAGCTAAATAAAAATATTTTAAAAAAGCAAAAAAAGCACAAAATTACTACAACTAAAATAAAAACTATAAATATAAAAAGAAAAGCTACTTAAAAATATTAATAAAGACTATAATACTATATAAATAATACTAATATGACACTTAAACACTGTAGATACACAGAGTTTCTCAGTCTGAGACAAAAGCAAGAACTCAAGTTACCAGTTTGAATATGGAAAAAATATCATATCGCTGTATTTTTCAGGAAAATCACAATTTTTGATTTTATTGTGTTTTTTCCAAGTTGGTTTTACTATTTTGCAAGTGACTGAACAGTAAAAATGTAGCCTTACAAGGTAACAAAATACAAAAGTAAAAGAATGGCAGACCAAAAGTAGGGGTGTGAGAATTATTTGATCTTTGCTATTAAAAATAAGACCCTAACATAGAAGAAAATCATGTTTAAAATCATTTAAATTACAAACTAATTACATTTGGAGGGCAGTTTTGTTATAATAAACAAAACCTTATTTAAAAGAAAGGCGGTCCTCACCTTCTGTGTGGGACTTCGAGGCCAACACAGTGGCTTCACTGAGCCGATCCGAGGTCAGTGTGACCGAGCCGTCCTCTCTGGTATCTCCCACCGTCACCTTGATTTTATCTCCGAGCGACACAGCAGAGAGCTGTTGTAGGACGTCAGACTCCCCTGCAGACACACAGAGAGTTGCATAACTTGATTAAAAACACTAAAATATAGCCCAAAGAGCGGAAAACAGAGGTCAGACAACCTATTGTTTGTTGTTGATCAGAGCCTACACTCATACCTCTGCCAGAAACCATCTCAAAGATGGACTTCCTTTCCTTCAGACCCTGGACCAGTCTGGCGTGGGCACCTTGCTCCAAGAGACTCAATTCTGACACCTTCAGGCTGACCAAAAACCTTTGCTTTTCTTCGTCCAGATGGGTCACTAGGGCAACAACCGACCGGCCGATCTCAAAGACGCCTGATGTGTTTGTGATGAACTGGTCACCCATAGCCTACAATGAGATTGAAACACAACATCATCACATCTGTACTAGGGATGTGTTAGACTAGTTGAGTAAACAATGCTGGAAATACTAGTGGTTTAAAAAAATATTATGGGTAACATGTTATTTTAAGGTGACGTAGAACTGGTTTGGTTATGAGGGACAATTCCGGTATGAAATTTTTACTTTTATACTTGAAAAAAAAACATCAGTGTTATAGTAATTTTGTTTGAAGTTTTTTTTTTTAAATGTCTATATAGCTTTAAATGTCTATAAGTTTACGTTTTTGTATATTTTATATCACTTCAGTTAGTGTTCATTTTATTTTAAAGTCCCCCTGTGGTGAAACTCAAGCTTTTAATGTTGTTTATGTCTATATGGTGTTTTTAATATGCCTTAAGCCGAACCATGTACAAATTCATAAGTCAGCACCATTGCTGAATATTTTCTCCTTAAAACTGCAGTGAACCAAAGACAGTCTCAAAAACAATGTTTGAAATCTCTGGTGTTTCTGATGTCACAAACTACCTTGCAACCAATCAGCTGGTGTGAGTGAGTGGAGGCAGGGCTCATTTGCCAGTACACGTCAAACTTTTCTCCGATTTTGATGCCTGTCATGCGTACAGATACTTTTCATACACGAGAAGCACATTAAAACACGGACAATGGTAATGAACAATATAACCTTGACATGTACTGACTTATGTTAACAATATTATAAACAAAATTCCTCAAATAAGTTAGAGTTTGTACTTAGTGTTCCTGCAATGCCTACGGATTCAATTGGTTTAAATAAATAAATATGTCTAAATTGGCTAATGTTGATTGAAACCCTATTCAGACGGGACTAGTTTAACATGGAGAGGTGGGGTTATGTCATTTTACCACAGGACGTCTGTAATAATACTGGCCAATTCTCACGGGATAAGATATCTCAGTAATTATCTCTATCTTTATTACGTTGCTTCCTGATATCATGTGTGCAATCACACATATATAACCTATATATGTATATATAAAACAGTAAGGTCAGGTCGGATGATTTAAATCAATTCAGATTGTATTATGTTGGTAATAGGCACTTATCTAACGCTAAAAGAAGTTTTGTGCCTCTTTCGACCTTCTTTTTGATCTTGAATGCTTTTTCAAGCGCCTCCATACCTGGAAAAACCACGGAAAACTACTTTTAAACAGGAAATGACGGAATGTTTACGTACATATTTACAGCGGGTCTATTCGCACGGGATTAGTATTACCTGAGGTAATTTTTTACTGAAGGTAAAAGTCGCCGTAATCTTTACTGACATTGTTCGTAATGATTACTGAGATGTCACATTAGGACGGGACTAAAATCACTGAGAAGCTCTGCTGATAATTACTTTACTCCACCTCTCCATGTTAAACTAGTCCCGTCCGAATAGGGCTTAAAGGAGAACTCCGGTCAATTTTAACATTGAGCTAATTTTTTTTGTACATTTGGAGTGCTGTCAGTACAGACAAAAACGACAAAAATCGGTGTTGCCTACACCGTGTTATCCTCTTTTTAAAATTCGCACCCTGTTGACTTCAATGGGGCAAGTTCTAAACCAGCTTTTAGCCTCTTAACAACCTTAATGTGTCATTACAAGTGCACAGCCATGTGAGTGGTGTTATTAAGAATGACCACGGTCAATCTGACTGCAGTAGATGTGAAAGATATTAATACAAATGATGTTAATTCAGCCAGGTCACATACCTGTATTTACTTCCTGTTTTCGTTCGAAGTCCACAGTAGGTGATTGTCGAGTTAGCGCACGCGATCATTGGTAACTAATATAACTAATGATCGCGCGCGCGCACTCGACAATCAACTACTGTGGACTTCGAACGAAAACAGGAAGTAAATACAGGTATGTGACTTGGCTGAATTAACATCATTTGTATTAATATCTAGGCAACACCGATTTTTGTCGTTTTTGTCTGTACTGACAGCACTCCAAATGTACAAAAAAATGAGCTCAATGTTAAAATTGACCGGAGTTCTCCTTTAAATGAAGGTTTCATTTACAATGATCATAATGTAAGGCAAGCAGAGATTCACAGACAAAGTAGGCTATTTCAAATGGACTGTTAAGGGATAGTTCACCCAAAAAAGTTGTTCAGAGTCAATTGAAGTCAATGGGGCGAATCCACTGTTTGTTTACTGACACATTCTTCAAAATATCATCTTTTGTGTTCAGCATAAGAAAGAAATTCATTCAGGTTTGGAACAACATGAGGGCGAGTAAATGATGACAGTATTTTTTGGTGGTCTAGTCGACTAGTCAAGTTATAAGTTTCAGTTTTGGTGTTGATGTGTGCCCCAACTAATTTAAACGGTGTCATTTTCACACAAAATACTATCCAAACAACCAAAATGCAAACATACATCTTTAGGAGCGAGGCCGAAGAGTCCGTGCGGGAAATCGACGAAGACTCCATAAGGCATGATGTTCTTCACCCAGCCCAGCATCTGCATCCCCACCTGGAGCTCGGAGAACCTCTGCGGGATGTTGCCGTCCTCCAGACAGGCCTTCAGTAGGGGTTTCTTGGTGAGAGTCTGAACAGGACTCGGTTAAGAAGAACTGAACGGTATGTGCAAATTAAAGCTGCATGATTCTGGACAAACACGATTTCTTTGTTTAAAATATAAAGATTCTCCTACGATTATGAAAAGACAACTAAACAAAATAACGTAATTTAGTAGAGATTCTGACAAAATGTTAATTGCTGCAATATACACTCACCGGCCACTTTATTAGGTACACCTGTCCAACTGCTCGTTAACACTTAATTTCTAAGCAGCCAATCACATGGCGGCAACTCAGTGCATTTAGGCATGTAGACATGGTCAAGACAATCTCCTGCAGTTCAAACCGAGCATCAGTATGGGGAAGAAAGGTGATTTGAGTGACTTTGAACGTAGCATGATTGTTGGTGCCAGAAGGGCTGGTCTGAGTATTTCAGAAACTGCTAATCTACTGGGATTTTCACGCACAACCATCTCTAGGGTTTACAGAGAATGGTCCGAAAAAGAAAAAACATCCAGTGAGCGGCAGTTCTGTGGGCGGAAATGCCTTGTTGATGCCAGAGGTCAGAGGAGAATGGCCAGACTGGTTCGAGCTGATAGAAGGGCAACAGTGACTGAAATAACCACTCGTTACAACCGAGGTATGCAGCAAAGCATTTGTGAAGCCACAACACGCACAACCTTGAGGCGGATGGGCTACAACAGCAGAAGACTCCACCGGGTACCACTCATCTCCACTACAAATAGGAAAAAAAGAGGCTACAATTTGCAAGAGCTCACCAAAATTGAACAGTTGAAGACTGGAAAAATGTTGCCTGGTCTAATGAGTCTCGATTTCTGTTGAGACATTCAGATGTTAGAGTCAGAATTTGGCGTAAACAGAATGAGAACATGGAACCATCATGCCTTGTTACCACTGTGCAGGCTGGTGGTGGTGGTGTAATGGTGTGGGGGATGTTTTCCTGGCACACTTTAGGCCCCTTAGTGCCAATTGGGCATCGTTTAAATGCCACGGCCTACCTGAGCATTGTTTCTGACCATGTCCATCCCTTTATGGCCACCATGTACCCATCCTCTGATGGCTACTTCCACCATGTCACAAAGCTCTAATCATTTCAAATTGGTTTCTTGAACATGACAATGAGTTCACTGTACTAAAATGGCCTCCACAGTCACCAGATCTCAACCCAATAGAGAATCTTTGGGATGTGGTGGAACGGGAGATTCGCATCATGGATGTGCAGCCGACAAATCTGCGGCAACTGTGTGATGCCATCATGTCAATATGGACCAAACTCCCTGAGGAATGCTTCCAGCACCTTGTTGAATCTATGCCACGAAGAATTGAGGCAGTTCTGAAGGCAAAAGGGGGTCCAACCCGTTACTAGCATGGGGTACCTAATAAAGTGGCCGGTGAGTGTATATATATATATAAAAAAAATGGAATTAATATGGAATAATTGTTTAAAAAAAAATCAGTTTGAATGAATGATTCAATGACTCACTCATTAAGAATTAAGATATTATTAAGACATCTAGTTTCTTTACTAAATGAATCAGCATTTTTTAACTAATTTCTTGAATGAATGACTCGCTTATAAAAGCTGCATCCGACATCACATACTTCCCTACTATATACTAGGGGAAAAACAGTATGTGACAAAAGAAACATGTCCGAATTCACAGAAAAAGCACCCAAATGACACACTTCTTCCGGCGAGATTCTGAAGTGTGTGTATGATGGACACTTTACTATCCCATGAGGCCATGGGAGAGGATTTATGAATGGACATTTTTTCACTGTATGAATAAGCGTTTTTGAACAAATCTCTTGAATGAAGAATTCAATGACTCACTCATTAAGCCATGACTTGTTTAACTACTGGATGAATCAGCATTTTTGAATGAATCTTTTGAATGAATTAGTCACTCACAATTTTTTTTAACGGTCACTCACTTGTCACCACCTAATGGTGTAATGGCATATTTGATACAAACTTTATTTGAAGTTACTTTCAAAAGTTAATTCAATGTATTTTGCTACTGTAGACATCAGTGTTTATATCTGAACTATTAACTTTTATCTCAGTACTTGTGTTTCCCATCTATACATCTATACAGACAACTACTCTCTCTGGTTCAGTGCCAACACAGATAAAAAATATAACGTGTGTGTTTACTGACAGATAAGAATGGTTGTGTGAGGATACAATTCCCTTCTTCTTGTTCTTGCTGAGACACATTATATTAGAGATGGTGTCACCCTCCTCCAACGCCATCCACAGGGGAAGGCAGTTGGTCACATGATCAGAGAGATGCACTATGGGTATGAAAGCCGGAGCCTCTTCAGGAACAATGGAGACTTCCAGACCATCCAGGACTTTGCGGCAAACTCTTACATTGACTGGCTAAATAGAAAATGACAGAGAGAAATATGTAGTAATGTATTTTTTTTTCACTTTCCTGTGGTTTGCAAAGATAAGTATAAAAAGATGTTTCAGTCAAATTACCTTTCCAATCACAAAGTCAAATTTCTCAGTCTGCTCCACCTTTATATCTCCCTCAGTAACGGCCTTGAAGGATAAACATAGCTTCTTATTTTCCGGGTCACACCTCAAGACTTTGGCCTGAACCACCTGCAGAAAATAATTAAAAGAATCCCCCAAAGTGTTAATTAGTGTGAACTGAAGATGAAAACACTTCAAGATACGCAGAAGCGTGTGACTGGAATAAATACAGCAATTGATATTAAATTTGATCATTTTAAACATGGACATATTTGATCAAAAACACAGTAGAAACTGTTATATTGTGAAATGTTACCATTTAAAATGTATTTTGTTCCTGTGATATTCCAAAGCTGAATTTTCAGCAGCATTATTAACAAAATCTACTGACTCCAAAATGAAAAAAAAAAAAACATTTTTTAACTAGATGCACTTCACAAGTTTAAAATATTGCTCTGACCTGGCCGATGAAGAAGAGGCCTTCTGGATTTTCCACACACTCGGCGGACAGCTCCCCCACAGGAACCAGACCCTTCACATCTCCATAGAACCGGACAATACAGCCAAACTGCTTCACAAACACGATGACGCCGTGAGAGATGCGGCCCACCCTGGCATCAGAGTAGGACTGGAAGATCGGGAGTTGGGACTCAACAAGGGCCTTTTTCCTGGTCAGGATCAACCTCTTTTTCTGAACATCCATTGATAATACCTAAAAAACAATCCAGGTTAAAATTAATTAGAAGAAAGGCAACAAATACAGTTTTAGTGACACCCGAGGTTGCATTAAATGGGGTAAACGCAAAAAACAAACAAAAAAAAAAACATACATGCATGCATACATACATACTAATATATATATATATATATATACACAGTGTTTCCCCTACCATTGTTTTGGGGGGGCGGCCCAAAGTTACAAAAGCTTTCTTTCTATTTCAGATACTGCATGACTACTAATAATAATAATAATAAAAAGGAAAAGAATGATGATTTTATCATCCCTGGTTAAAAAGCCTCACCCTGCACTTGACTTTCAAGCCCTCATAAAACATCTTCTCTGGGTTCTTTAGGACGACATCGGCAAGGTGAATTCTGGGTATCATTCCTCTGATGTGGTCCGTTATCCTCACGAAAACGCCATGTTCCTGCAAATCCGCAACTTTACCCTGAAACCCAGAAGCAGCATGTGACCGCCATTACATTCATTCTTTTATGTGACATTTGCTGCAGATCCATTACTTCTTTTGTCTTGCCCACCTCAACAATTTGTCCCACTTTGATGTCTTGATATCTGAAGAAGGTCATTTCAATAGTGCTCCTGTAAAACAAAAGAAATCATAACAACAAATCATAACACGAACCAGCCAGAACACCCTAGCAACGTCATATCAACCCACCTGCGCAGTGTGACCAGGTGAATTTGCTCCATAGGACTGTAATCTATGATTCTCAGAGAGTGTTCAGACTGGGACAGCAAGCGGTTTGGGTTGAACTCTTCTTTTGGCTCCTTCGTGAGGTTTTTCTACATCCAAAAAGCAAATAAAACTTCATCAGACTCACAGAATGGATATTTTTTTAATATAACTCTGATTGTGTGAAAGTCATATACACCTAGGATAGCTTGAGGGTGAGTAAATCATGGGATAATTCTCATTTTAGGGTGAACTAACCCTTTAACTAATCTCAGGTCAGTTTTATAATGCAGGTTCATTTTTAATGAATTGTATTACTTAAACAGGTATAATACAGAAATTAGAACTATATTTAATTGTTTCTAATTTACGTACACTGCCAAATCCCTGCCTAATAACACGCAAATCAAGCACTGTGAATAGATAAAAATACTAACTTTAAAGAATATTTACTTCATTTAATATTTATTAACATATTTAATTATGTTTAGATTACATTTAATAGACTTTCATGAAAACATTAGCAATTGGCTTGTAAAAGTTACTACCAGGGTTACTAAAGTTAACTAAAACTACCACACACTAAAACCATATAAAACTTAAAATAAACTGAATAACTGAAATAAAGTAAAATATTTAAATAAATAAATAAATTTTAGCAATCTGACAAGACAGCAATAACTAAAACAAAAATACTAATCTATATTTAAAAAATAGTAATAAAACTGTCAAAAACACAATAAAATTACTAAAACTAAAAAGATTCAAAATATAAATAACAGTATCTCAACGATTCAAAAATAACACTGCATCATACATGAGTTTTTCATTGCATTTACACCGTTTTGACCAGCAGGTGCCAACAGCCTGTGGCGTTTGAACACTTCAAAACAATGAATCGTTTTGTGATGCAACTGGTTGAATTGATTCAGAATGTTTCTCCCATCACTACGGTGTAGTTATCCTTGACAATATTTGTACTCACATGCACAAAGGCTGTGGTACCGTCGGGCATCTTAATCACGGCTCCTGAGTGATAGTGCAGATCAGTAATCTTGCAGCCCTGCACCACCTCACCCATCCGCTCGCTGCAGAACACATCCAGCACAGCGCCCCCTGGTGGCAGGAGATGACTGCGCAGGGACAGGCTCACATGCCGTGTGGACGGCTCCACATGCAAAACCCGTGCCAGGACCTGGAAACAGTGGGAAGATGCAGACACAACTTAATTACTGACTGTTATTTTAGTATTATTTATATATTATTACAGTTTTTAATTATCATTTTGAATTCATTTTAGTTGTGCTTTAGTCATTTTTATTACTTTTTGTTTATTTTAAAGGGGTCACGAATGGCATTTTTTTTGATTATTTTATGTTTCCTGGGGTGCACTTATAATGTTATGATGATATTTACATCAAAAATGGTCAATTTCGAAATAAGACTTTTTTCCTAGCCTGATTTTAGCCTCTGATTTCAACACACTGTTTGAAGGGGCGTGTCTGCTGTGAGACTTCAGTGTATACGCCCACTGTGATTGGCTGACATCTTTGCATATGAAATAAGTATTACTACACTTGAATACTTTTACTACGTTCTTACCATTACAGCTGTCGAGATTAACTAATCGTGAAAAGAGTTGATTATAGGATTATTTTTAGATCTATTCCCATCACATGAAATGTTGCCGTGATGAGCATTGATCAGATGACACACAGTCTGTGGAGCGAATGAATGCAGTGATCTCGTCATTGCAACTCGATTTCTTTCATCATATCTAACAGCGCAAACACGATGTAAATAAGAGATTCATTGATTATAACAGAAGTTTTGGCGAGAGTTCAGAACTGAGTCACTGATGGTTGAAAGCTCCAGCGATTGTAAAAGGAGGCATTCTTTGTATATAATTTTAATAACAGCTTATTTTCAAGATTATGAAAGAAACAAGTTGACTGTTTAGGCACTGCTGGCTTGATTTAGTGATGAATAAACACAAATAAACGACTTTGAGACAAAGTAAATGACTCGTTACATATCAAAAATCACTGACCACAGATCAGGCATTAGATTAAACACGGTTACTTGCATGTTGTGGCATTACTGTCGGGTCCATATCTTACAGTAAAAGTCTATTTGCAAAGCCTGCGCCGAAATGGCGACTGATTTCCCAGAATATCCACAATGAAATATACTGAATACAAACAATGCTCAATTGAGACATTCAACATTGAAAATAAAAACCACTTTCCTAGCATTAGGATACTTTGGAAGGTAATTTTATTTTGTCTTTATTATGCCTTTTGTCGACATTATCACAAAGTCGTTTTTTTAGCTTTGATTTTTGATGTTTTTGGGCTAACGGGAGAGTTTTGAATCTTCCTTCTGAAACTTACAGGATGTTTTTACAGTACAATTACCTCTTACATGTCAAAATATCAAGGAGATTTTATTTCTCAATCATGACCCCTTTAAATATTACTACCTAGATTTAATAATTGTGTTTATTTTTTACTTGAGTTTTAGTGTATATTTACTTTATTTCCAGTTAGCAATTTTAGTGCTATTTAAACTACATGAAAATTAGAAATTCTAAAAAAAAATTAATGAAATAAGTTTACGTTTTTCATCTAATATTTAGATTTAATTTGAGCTTTATTTCAATAAAAGAGTTAATAGTTTTAGTTAACAATAACAACCCTGCTGAGAAGCAAATGTTTCAGGCAGAAACACAAACAAAAACGATTAGCAACCATTTTGAAGCACTGTTACTATGGTCTTTGGACTCTTACCTCCTGTCCTTGGCTGTAGGTCGATGCCTTGTCCTCATCAAGGTGAAGAAAATCAACAACTCCGGTGAAAGATGAAAGATACGTCACGATAAGCCCGTGAGGAGTAACCTAGTATGACAAAACATCAGCGGACAGATATATCAATGTCTCAAACAAGACATTGATCTAGAAACACTTGTAAAAAGGAAATTCAAAATATATACAGCTTTCTTGCAGTCGTACATTAAACTGGGATAAGAGGAAGTATTTTAGTATTAACCATAGAGTGCTATAGAGCCCACCCACGTCTTCATTCATTTCTCCCATAAGGATTTTCAAAAAAACCTCTTCGTTAAAGCGTTATAACCCAAGAACTAAGCCAACTAGCTAAGAGGTAAATCATGACATTACAAACTTAGATTTGAAGCAAACCTGTTTTTGAAAATCAGACAAAAGCACAAAAGGTACAAGACTGTGTACTTAACAGCTTTAGTGAGGGAAAGAACTACAATCCCATGAATCATTGCGAACAGATATACTGTATATATATATTTTGAGTGTCGGGAGATAGACTCGATTACATCATTCACAGTGCTTCATGGGAGTGGGCGGAGCTAAAAAAAAAACAGACCTTTTAGTGTGTTCTGCTGGGTTTGACTCTCTGATTGTTGGATTTTTGTACAGCATCATGGGTAATGTAGTTTTTACCACAAATCCCGCTGTTAAACAATTATTTTAAAAATATGTTGAATTAATGTGGACTGACGGCTTCACCAGAAACAAACACCATCAATTACAAACCTCGTAGCTCACAGAAAGGCTGTCTTTAAAGGTTCATAAGTTATCGTGAAAAAATGAATGGAGTTTTTGCTTCCGGTTCCGACTGTTGCACTCTATATTATACTTTACGCTTAAACCGTTTCATCTGCAGGGTTCTTAAGGCCTTCTGACCTCTATTTTTGAGACTTTTCTTATGCCATTTAAAATATGAAACTTGAGATATAAGATTTTGAAAGGCTTTTTAAGGATCTGTGGGGACCCTGCTTACCCTCTTCACGCATGCGCGGATCAGAAGTCCAGGCAGGAGGGTGTCTAGAGTCCATCCATGCTGAGCCATAGCACAGGCCTTTGCGAGAACCTGGGGATTCTGGCACAGACGCACCACACGTCCATCGTTCTTGACTTCCTCGATCAGGATCGACACGTACTGACCCACATTCAGATCTGAAATAAACAGAAAACTTACAATAACAATGCCGCTTTTATCCCAACGCAGGCATAGCCTTAAAGGGTCACTCCACCCATTTGCATTAAGAGGTCCATTGTTAGACAACCAGTCATACTATTGAATGGTCGTGCAACATTCTTTCATTTTCCCCTGAGACGAGAGAAATCTACTATTTACCTTTTTCACTTCCTCCTACAATGACGCAAAAATCGTCATTTGACGTCATTGTAGGAGGAAGTGTAAAAAGGGGGGATTTCTGTATAGACTACAAGCACAAATTCCCACCCTTTCAAACCCGCCCATAGGGGGTTGTGCCTAATGCGCTAACAGAGCTATCACAGATCAGTGGGTGGGACTTCACTTGCAGATACTGAAAGCAATATCAGCCATCTTGTTTATAAGCTAAGCTAACAAGCGCTGTGGAGATAGGAAGTTACGACAATGACGGAAGAAACTAAACATGATATGGAAGTAGAGGATTTTGAAATTCTGCTGCTCGAATCCGCTCTTCGTGGCTATCTTTACGAGCCGCAATATAGTGAAGAGCAGCTGAGGCTGATGGAGGATCAGGAGGCGGCTGCCTGTCGCGAACGAGGAGCCCGGACTGGCTCGAGCTGAGGCGGGCTGCTGGTGCGTGTGCTCTCGCTGTGCGCTACGGACACAGATAGAGTCCGTCTGCTGCAAAGAATTTCAACGATCGCAATTTCTCCTAGACGAAATCTCTGAATCAGACGACCACACGGACGTTTGTGTTGTGATGTGAACCATCCTAGTTTCGCCTGACTGAAAATCCAGGTATCATGCAATAATTCACCATATAGAAAGAAATACAAACGAGTAATTCACTAATGAGTTTGCCAATGTAACGGGGTTCGTTGTTGTGGGAAGAAGGAGGCTGGAACCGGCGAACATTTAAACATTTTAATAGTAAAATAAACAAATACAAAACAAAAGTATAAGCCAGCTGGCCACACACAACAGGAACAAAACATAAAATCAGGCCTGTTCCTTTTGTGCTTCCGCTCCTCCGTGAGAGATATGAGACCGCTGCACAGGTGCCATTCATTATCACTCGCGTCGTCCTCTCACGTCCCTCGCCCTCGTCCTGCTCGCCACAGCCAACTAACTAGACATTTTTTGTGAAATGAATTTCAAACTCATTTAGCAGCTAGCCTTCTTGTAGACGGAAGAGTGATTTCTCTGATGTTTGCGCTGTTCTGGATTAGTGGGAGTGGCTTGCGGAGCTGTGCAACGTGGTGCATTGTGGGAGTTGTTGTCTTACATACAAATGCGCCCTAAAGTTATTTTCTGTCTTTTCTCGGTCAAGAGGGAACCAAATTAAAAATTTCTTTTACATTTCGACTACATATATAACCCACTTTCAATAAAGATTAATGTTGAAATGGGTGGAGTGACCCTTTAAAGGGACAGTCCACCCAAAAATGAGAAATCCTTTTATTGTTGTTGTCATTCCAAACATGTATTATGGCGCAACATTTGAAATTGTCAATAGCATTTTTGTATTTTATTTTTTAAATTCTAGGACTAGTTCATGCCATACAGGTTTGAAATTAAATGAAGGCGAGTAAATTATGGCAATTTTAATTTGTAAGTGAACTACCGGTAATCCTCTTACATTCCTTATGATGTGGGTGATTCTTCGTGTCATTGAACCATGATAAACAGTTTATGTACACGAATCAGATGTTATGCTGTTGTGTTTGCGCCTGACTCCCTACCTTGTTTTATTTGTTTGTTTAGAGTTTAAAGCCATGCCAGCTACCCCGGCTATATTCATAGCGAGAAAGATATAAAAAAGAAGAAGAACGATTCTACCTTGTTTTGAGGCAATGCTCTTTTTGGGCAGGAAAGCTTTAGTGCCAATGACTCCGATGTCAACCAGGTATCCGTGATCTTCCACACTCTCCACACAACCACTCAGAGTCTGAAACGTTAAGAGGATTTGATCTTAGCTCACGAGTGACAATTACACATAAAAGATTCAGCAAGAACTGGGTCATATACACTATACAATATATAAAAATAAAGAAAGATTGCAAACTCACCATTCCAGGTTTCAAAGTGCCTGAACTCAAAACCTTGTTAACATCTTTTGGGTTGACTGACACTTTAAGACTAACATGACCCTCCTTAGCGGAGTCTAAAGACGACACAACACATCTGACCAGCATTCCTGGAGTAAGTAGTTGCGAGAGAGGGACGACTTCCTATGAAGAGTAGACAAACATGAACAGAATGCATTATACTGTTACAAATACAACAACGCTCGCATATATTTTTACAGTTGCCTCCTTGTGCAGCTGTGTTACCTCTGAACTGTCTTCAGAGTCCAGTCTGTTATTGAGAATCTTGGTGTAGGAGTCACAGATGTTGTAGATCGGCAGGTAACCAACGAGACCGCTTGGGAGACCAACTACCACCTCAAACTCTGACACTTCCTTCACACAACCCAGCATCAGAGTGCCAATCTTCAGATTCTAGACAGAGGAAATGGGAAAGAAACCTGGGTGATCAGACACAAGTGCAATTTCACCAAAACAAAAGTAAAGTCGCTGTTTGGATTTAATCTTCAGAGTCAAAGACTGGATCATTATTGCAGTGATTATTATGTTTTTAGCATGTTACATGTTTGGGAACAGTTCTTCTAACCCTAACTGATGGAGTGTGTATCTCTTTATTTCTTATGTAAGGAGGACACATCATGGTCATATTCCAGGATGACAATGTCAAGATTCATCAGGCTCAAATTGTAAAGGAATGGTTGGGAGGAGCATGAAGAATCATTTTCACACATGAATTGGCACCTCTGAGTTCAGAGCTTAAATTCACTGAAAGTCTTTGGGATGTGCTGGAGGAGACTTTACAGTGTGCTGGACTCTTGCATTGTCAATACAAGATCTTGACCAAAAATTGATGCACCTCTTGATAAAAATAAATGTTATGTTATTTCAATCAAGAGGTGTTGCTAAACATATAACATGCGAAAAACATAATAATCACTGCAATAATGATCCAGTCATTGACTTCTATTTAAATCCAAAAAGAATTGTCATGTTTTTCCCCTACAAAATTACCCGAAGATGAAGAATTTCCACAGAAGTGGCAGTATTAAGTTTTAAATTCTCTTCATCCACTTTCTGTTTTTTACGGGTTTTCTCTTCATCATGTTCCACGTCCTTCTTCTTCTTCTTCTTAACCAGTGTTTCACGTGACTGAAAAACATTCATACACATTACACTCGTAACAATCAGTGCAAGCATCTGTTTGCTCATTGATCTTAATTAAAATAACTGCTTTAGTCACCACCACCACCATCATCATCATCATAACCATAATCTTACTTCAAAAAGATTGTCCACGTCATGTGTCTTAACATGTTTGGGCCCAGAGGTCTTCTTCTCTGCACCGCCACGGGGGAAATCTTCCTCCAAAGATGCCATTCTTTACTATTTACCTGAATAGAAGGGCTCTAGTGAGGTCCAATCAAAAAACAAAGGCATTAAACATTTTCGAGTCTTATTAGACGTTAAAAAAACATCTTTACAGCACTTCATTTAACCGTTATTTAAACTGACCAAGAACAAATAACATGTCTTACATCTGCCTGCATGTCGACACATGAGATACACAACATACAGGCTATAAGTTACTATAATACAACGTTTAATCAACATATTCCTTACATTTAGAGACGCGACATAGGTCATTAAACCACCCCAGCAGTAACAACAAACTGATTTTACTTACGCTATACAACTTTGTGTGGAACAATGTAAAATGCTGTCATGCAAGTAAATCTCACATGTTTCTCACAAGCGTGCCATCTTTCCGACCCGGACGTAAACACTGTGAGGCGGGATTTACGATTGCAGGAAAAATAAAAAGAATCAACCAATAGGGTGACGGGATTATCAGATTGGCGTTTCTGTAAACCTATCGTTGTGGTGTAAAAAGCGATTGACGTGAGTGTAAGCCAATGACCACAGTTTATTCAAGCTATCACCACGAGGGTGGGATTTCCTTAAATCGTTCACTTTCCGGCCTCTCCTCCATTGAAGGGCACCAGTTTGCTTGGTAAGTCATGTCTCTAATTTGAACTGAAATATCTTATTTCCCCCAGCATGTTTTAGAAAGTGGGTTTTTTATATTGCTTGCGAAACGAATATATTCTGCTTAGTAAAGCACAGAGGTCGCATTTACAATAAAGACGCTCGTTTTAGCAAACGGAATGAGTTGGTTTTAAGCATATTATTATGTAATATCTAATATAATATTATAGAAACTACATATACAATCTCATGGTAAAACTACAACTACATTTCACAATTAAACAGCAGTGTTGTCATATACGCATTTTTCGTGACCTTGCATGATAACGAAAAACGATGCGCAAGTCCTAATGTATTTATTTAAACTCCTTTATTAATTCAGGATCAGCAGATTACACACAGAAATCATGGGTGGACACGACGCTGGAACTCAACACCAGTTCACTGGCATCGCCAAGTACTTCAATTCATACACAATCACAGGCAGGAGGAATGTAAGTTGATTTGCATTGACAATTATTATGCAGCTAAAATAAAATATGCTTAACGTTGTTGCCACCACGGAATAATAAATAAAAAAAACAGTTGTGAGTGTTTATCTCACAATTCATGCTTTTTTTACTCCAACAAATGAGTAAAAAAAGTCAGAATCGTGAGATAAACAGGCACCATTTCCTTTTTAGTTCTTATTTAGTGGTGGAAACAAGTTTCCATACATTGCCTTTGTATTCTCACTAAATTGAAAGTACTCTTTTTCCCCTTGACTCAAGTGTGTGTTGGCCACATACGCCAGCATTGCTGCCATTATCCTCTTCTTCAAATTGAAGCCCAAGAAGCAAAAGGCTGTGACATCAAGTTAATTTATAGTAAGTGCCACCTGAATTTAATTTAAATTCATTTCCATTTCCAAAAGTTGCACTTCCATTCCAACTATTTTCCTCTTTCTCTTCAGGATGTTTTGTGAATGCAGAATGAACGGAGGGCAAGCTGGATGTCCTTGTTTTGACCATAACTTCAGTTCAACTATGTAAAGAATAAAAAAAAAAAAATCACTTGTACCCAACAAACACTGTGTAGAAAACTTGTTTTATTTACACTTTGAGGCACCTAGTATAAAAGCTTGTACAGACATTGACAACAGCACTCATATGCATCACATTTCAAAGACCAAGAACCAGATTCTGAATTAGAATGGAAAAGTTTAAATTGACAAAAGGAGACCAGCCATGTCATTTTGAGACATTTGATGCATAATGGCCTTGAAAACAAGCATGGAAGAGAAAAGGTAAGCTTAAGAGCACGAGGTGTGAGATCTAGGATCAGTAAATGAATGATGAAAGAGGTATTGGTCGCTGTTCCCAGGTATGCTCAGTGCTTGACTCCTTTTTTCACTTCGCTTGAACCTATTTCACATGTTAGGGTGGGTGGTAATCTTTAAATAACATGCACCATTTATGAAAAACACACATCTACATGAAGTCATTGTCCTCTGAAATATGCGGTCCCTTCACTGGGAGTTGTAGCCTCCTGCAGCCAGTAGCAGGTTGCGTCTGGTGAAGTGCAGGTGTGTGACGGGAGTGGATTTGCTGTGGTACGTCCCCAGCAGCAGCTCCTGGGAGTTGTCAGGCAGGTGAATGTGGCCCGTCGCTGCAGTGAAGTCGTCCGTCTCCACGTCATCGAAAGCCTTCATGGCGTCCCACAGCCGAACTGTGTTATCCATAGAGCCTGGAACAAAAGACACAGCATTTCAAGCTGAATTTAATTACTTTAATTACTATTAGCCCTGTAAAGCCTGAGATCTGAAATAAGTGTGGAAAAAAATATTCTTTGAAATGGAACAGTTTAGTGAACCTTCAAATTAGTATCATATTTGATACATCAGGCTTTTATGGCTCATAGTATAATAAGAGAATATGGAGCTCATACTCTGGGATAAAAAGACCTCAAGTTGCTGATATTCATATGGCCAAAACGTAAGGTGATATTCTGATAGCTTAGGTCAGTTAAGGCGGAGAGAAGGCTCTTTTGTGGCTATTCGACCACATGAGCATCTTCACTATTAAAGCAATCCGGTCGAATGCGTTTTCGACTACCGAAATGTGGTCGAAAGTGGACAAGCTCTAAACGTTTTGGACCCCATTTAAACCCCTATTTAGCGTCCACTTGTGATCCGATCGAACAAAAAGAAAACTAATACCAGGTGTAAACAGAAGCTTGTATCAAATGTAAAACTGTAGAAACACTTTACATCAATCCAATCAAAACTAGTCCTAATCTGTGGTCATAAACGCTGTCTTGAGATACAGAGCCAGCAGTCCGAACCTGATGCGAGGATTTCTCCATCTCTGCTGAACTTGAGGGCATATATTGTGTCTGTGTGGCCCTTCAGTTCTCCGATCATCAGCCCATGTCCAAGATCCCATAGCAAAACTCTCCCATCTGTGGATCCAGATGCCAGGAACTTTCCATTAGGTGAGAATGCTAGAGAATGGATGGGTCCCTGAAATCAAACATCATCACTTTTTATTATAACTCGTATGACTCAGTATTATATCAGAAAAATGGGGGTATAAAACGGTAATTGGTTGATAAACTGCAAAGAATGGGCATACGAAAGAAGAGTTGAGCAGGTTTTTCAGAGATGGGTTTAAAATGACATGAGAGGGAATAGCTTTTATTGAAAAATATTCATAGCTTGATTTAGTTAACGTCAATTAAAATAAGCAGAAATAAAAAATAAATATTAGATCAATTTGAACTTAATTAGAAAACTAGAAACGGAAATAAAATAAAGTTTAAACCAAAGTACTAAAATGAAACAAAAAACTAACAAAAATGACACAGACGCATAACAAAATGGATCAAAAGCTATTTCTAATTATTATTAAATACTATAATAGTAGGCCTATAATAATAATTTTTAAAAAATAATAATTTGAGAGGGAGTAAGCAAATAATGAAAGAGCTTCATTCAACGCGAATGGGATTAATGTAATTTCCTGTGCAGTGCTGAGATCATTCATTCAGTCACCTTTGGAAGCCTTCAGTACCTTGTGACCTGTAAAAATGCGGACACAGTTTCCATTCAGGACATCCCAGAGGCGTACAGTGCGGTCGGTCGAGCCTGTGGCCACATAGTTGGAGTTGGGGTGGAACCGCGTGCAGGTGACGTCAGCCAGATGCCCGGCAAATATACGCAAGGGCTGGTAATGATCCGTCGCCCAGAGCCTGGGAAGCAAATGAAGATTTAACATGAATATTTGATTACGGTCTAGAAAACATTTGCAATATCTTGTCATTCATTGGCAAGTCTCTTTTTTTGTTCAATACAAGATCTTGACCAAAAATTGATCCACCTCTCGATGGAAATGAATGTTGACTTTCGTTGGCTTTTAATACATTGTAATGTCTTGTTTTGTTCTTCTCTGTTTCCTTTTATCTGTTATCTAAGGGTCTTTTTTATTTTGTATTGTATTTTATCTATCTACCTACACACACACACACACACACATATATATATATAAAAAACAGTACAATTTGTATACATTATGCAAGTAGATGTACAGTATTAGTATTAGGGCTGCACAATTTGGGGAAAATGTCATTTTGCGATTATTGAGGTCGATATGCGATTGCGATATAATAAACAAATGGTTTCATGAGTCAACTTGCTTGGTTCTAAAGCAGAATGCACACACAGATTAGTGATAATTCTGAAATGTGTATTTCTCAACTCAAACTAGCAACAACAACTAAATGATTGATAACACCTATAATGATCAATAAAAATTAATTTAATTTTAATTAAAGTGAACTTCAAACAATTCTCACATAAACCCATAATAAATGTCATTTACCTGTGCTCTTCCTGTCTAACAGGTAGGAAATATACAGAAATTGAATAAAGTTATCAAACAGTCTGCGCTGCATAAATTATAAATTATATGGACTAAAATCCTATTTAAACCTACACAAGTTCTTTGGTCAAGAGCAGTGAGTGTTTTTCTCTGTTCCCTTTGTTCTTTGATTAACTTTACTGACAGAAAGTATTATTGGATGCTGGCCCTTTAAGAGTTGCTGACAGAGACGCGGATCTCACACGCGCCTTATTCTCTCACAACTCTTTACGACAACCATCATAAGACTGCTCTTATGTTATGAAGACACTCGACAAATGATATTTTGGCATAATTGTGTGTGTTATTGTTCGTTCACTTTAAGCGGAAAGAGAACTGTATTCTGGCGCGCGGTCTGTGCACGCGCATGATACTGGCGCGCGTCTTTCAGTCAGGACATTCAGCGCGCGATCTCCTTTGATATAAGAGCGGGATCATGTAACATTAGCCAAAGGATGACAAAAAATAACAGATGCTGCGTTAACAGCCCTAATTTGTTTATTTCATATAAAATCGCAGTATTTTGCGTCATATAATCGCATAGGCTTGACATCGCGATTACGATATGATTAATCGTGCAGCACTAATTAGTATACACTGATTTAAATAACAACATCATTAGAGTAATGAGAATCTAGCGTACCGTGCCACTCTGTCGTGTCCTCCAGACACAAAGTAATAGCCGAAGGGTGAGAACTGAGTGTCCCACACTGGATAGTTGTGTCCTTTATACCCCACGAGACATGTAAACGTCTGCAGGCTCCACAGTCTGACAGTACTGTCCTCAGAACTGGACAACAGATAGTTCCTAAGAGACAGATGAAGATATTAAACCGCACTGTCAGCAAAGTTTTGTTGATAGCAAACTAATCGTTTGGTTAGTCTCATGCTTACACACCTCCCCCGTTGTCCTGCATTACTTAGAAACACATTTCATGGCGATATAAGTTACTTTTGAGGACATGTTTGGTACCTGTCTGGACTGAAGCTGACGCCATACACCGGCCCGCTGTGACCGTGTAGGATTTTAGACTCACTGGCCGTCTTCTCATCCATAATCCTCTCCAGAACGTCATCAGACTCTTTATCAATCAGATTCAGGTCTAGAGAATAGGACAGCATGATTCAAATTGTGTGAGGCATCACACACCGCTTAATCGACATTGACGTTAATCTTTAAAATTACTCTTATGTCGTTCCAAACCCGAATTTCGTTCATCTTCGAAACACAAATGAAGATATTTTTAATGAAATCTGAGATATTTCTGTCCCTCCATTGAAAGTTTATTTAACGAAGCTTCCGCAAGATTCAAAGAGGTGTGTTCAAGCAAGTACGGTTGAGCTTCCATTTACCAAATTTGAGTGCTCTATGCATGTTCGCTGATTAAAGTTTATATGTGAATAAAAGCCTAACTGAAATCTGTTGATCACATAAAGCGATTAGAAGATTAAACCGCTTGATTCTTATGGATTTATTTAATGATTGCAGGAATGTGATAAGGTAAAGACAAAACAAAAGAAGGAAACGAGCGTGAAATAAATGTATTAGAAAAAGCACTATTTGCAGTTTGTTTTGAATTTTTTCCCGGCAATTTCAGTATCCATACAGTCAGACTAACGCAGTTCACATGGGTCCCAGGAAAAAGAAAAAGATGGAAATTTGTCTAAATACGGAAAAATCATCCCTGGATCTCTTTATTTGTGTCAGATTTTTGGGTGAATAGACTTTCAATGGAGTGACAGAAATCTCAGATTTCATTAAAAATTTCTTTATTTGTGTTTCGAAGTCTTATGGGTTTGCACGGTAAATTATGTAATTAGTAAATTATGACCAAATTTTCATTTTAAAGGATTAGTTCACTTTTAAAAAAACTTTTGCTGATAATTTACTCACCCCCATGTCATCCAAGATGTCCATGTCTTTCTTTCCTCAGTCGAAAAGAAATTACGGTTTTTGATGAAAACATTCCAGGATTTTTCTCCATATAATGGACTTAAATGGGAACCATACGGTCCAAGGTCCAAAATACAGTTAATAACAGTTTCAGATGCAGCTTAAAATGTCTTTAAACGACACCAGACGATGAATAAGGGTCTTATCATGCAAAACGATCGCTCATTTAAAAAATAAATAACAACGTTTAAGTTTTATAAGCTCACATGCTCGCCTTGCTCTATTTTGTGTGACTCTCCTGTTCGAACTCGTTCATCAAAATGAACAAATCTTTTTTCGAGTCATTTGATTCATTTAACGACCGAAATGAACGAATTGACTCGGAAAAAGATTTGTTCATTTTGATGAACGAGTTCGAACAGGAGAGTTCGAACATAGGCATCTTGGATGACATGGGGGTGAGTAAATTATCAGCAAAAGTTTTTTCAAAAGTGAACTACTCCTTTAAGGGTGAACTATCCCTTTTAGTGTTTAAAACTGGAAATAAAAGTTATAGGATTGTTAAAACTAGTGTAAAATGTTCCCTTAAACCTCTGTGAGAGTAATAAGAAGGTACGTGTACCTGCTGCAGATTTGACTTTGCGTAATTTTTTGGGTGTGACGGTCCACACGCGGACTGTGGAGTCCGCAAATCCTCCCGCTAACAGACTGGAGTCGTCAGTGAAGTCTACCGCCGTCAAACCCTGAGCGACAACACAATCAGCACGTGCAGAGTTAAGAAACACCAAACTCCATCATCAACATAAACAGCGCCAACCTGGTAGGCGTTGAGGAACGTATAGAAGCAAATGGAAGGCAGGTTCTCCGGGCTGAGCCGGATTCTTTTGGTGCTCTCCTTCATGTACATGATCTTATCCAGTTTGTCCGAGTCCTTCAGCTCTGGCAGAGGGATCCTGTCAATCAGAAAAAAGAATAACAGATTATGAAACTATACCATTTCACATCATTTAAAGTTGATTGTTCACCCAAATTTTTTTTAAGTCTGTCATCATTTATTTGCCTTTCAAACCTGTATGAATTTCTTTCTTCTGCTGAACACAAAAGAAGATATTTTGAGTTGATGGACCCCATTGACTTCCATAGTAGAAAAAAAAACCCCATTTAAGTCAATGCGGTCCATCAACTCACATTCTTCAAAATATCTTCAGCAGAAGAGAGAAATGTATACAGGTTTAAAACAACTTGAGGGCGAGTAAATGATGACAGAATTGAATTTTTTGGGTGAACTATCAATTCAAGCATTATCTTTAAGTTCTCATGAACATAAAAGTTCAATATACACTAGCATTCAAAAGTTTGGGGTCGGTAAGTTGATTTAATATTGTTAAATGTTTTTTGTAATTTATTCCTGTGATCAAAGCTGAATTTTCAGCATACTCTCTAGTCTTCAGTGTCACATGATCCTTCAGAAATCACTCTAATATGAAGATTTGATGCTCAAGAAACATTTCTGATTATCAATGTTGAAAACAGTTGTGCTGCTTAATATATTTGATGACACTTTTTTCAGGTGAACATAATTGTTTTTGGAACATTATAAATGTCTATACTGTCACTTTTGATCAATTTAAGACATCTTTGCTGAATAAAAGAAATAATTTATTTAAACAAACAAACAAAAAAACTTAACCCCGAACTTTAGAACAGTAGTGTACATGTAACTTCAAGCTGAATGATGAGCTTCTGTCAAACCTGTTCTGTTGAGGGGCGTTTGGGTCTTGTTTCTTACTCTTGGAGCCTATACTGTCCTTTTTAGTTTTCTTCTTCTTGGGCTTCCCTTCCTCATTCTCTGCTTCATCATCTTCATCATCTAGCGGGACTTCAATCTCTGGCTCCTTCAGCAGCCCGTAGAACACCTGGTACCATTAGAAACAAGACGGCACATTATTAAAACATACAATACTATTCAAATACAAGATGATTTCAATTCAAGAGTGATACTCTCTTTTAGTCTTTTATCATAATTCATGTACAAAATGTAAAAGCGCAAACTTTCCTGTTGTTATCCCATTAAGAACCTAAATCCCATCCCTTATATACAATACCACCATTCAAAATTTTGGGATTGGTAAGATTTTTTTAAAGAAATTAATACTTTAATTAAACTGATCTAAAGTGACAGTAAAGACTTGTACTTTGTTATAAAATTCAAACTATCTATTCATCAAAGAATCCTAAATTTTTTTTGTTTTTAACATTGATAATAAGAAGAAATGCAAATAAAACCAGAATGATTTCTGAAGGATCATGTGACACTGAATTCTGGAGTAATGATGCTGAAAATTCAGCTTTGTTCACAGGAATACATTACTTTTTAAAATATATTCACATTGAAAACAGTTATTTTATATTCATATTACGGTACTTTTTCTTATTCTCTCAAAAATCTAACAGACCTCAGCCTTTTGATTGGTGTATTTTCCATATGTAAATAAATACATGCTTTTGTATCTAACCTTGGCTTTGTTGACTTCTCGTTTGGCCTCTCCCCCAAGGCTGCCGGACATGCTGTCGATCTGACCCTTGCTGCGGGGCATGCCGTCAAAGATGTCGATGTACAAGTGCTCTTGAATGATGTTCCATATCTGGTTATTATGTCTTTCCTGCAAGTGTCTCTTCAGAAGCTGGTACGAGTCTCTGGAGATGCGCAACACGAAGCGGCTGGTGCGGAAATCCAGAAGAGCCTCGTTCCCCTTCATGTGCTCTTTCTTACTGAGGCCGCAAAGAACACGCAGGTCATCCAGATAGTAACACTCCTGATCACCGCTAAACCTATCAGCAAAAAGGAAACTGGTTAAGCCACAATGTTAAGACTTACAGAATCATCAAATTACATGATGATATTGATATCATCCCTGATTAACTCCACAAGTAAACAAGGTCTGATGTTCTGATGCTTACTTGTCGAAGAAAGCCTTGGCTTTGGTCTCATTGTTGTTGTAGACCAGCTCCAGGTACATGTGAACGAACAGGGGGTAGAAGAGCTGGGACAGTTCTGCTCGGTGGCAGTCCAGCACTGACTCTATGAAGTTCTTCAGGTCGCTGTAGTACACCTGATACAGAGATGGATCCCCCTGCTGACTGTACGCTGACAGCACCACACGGACATCTGGATGGTCTTCTGACAACATGAACGTCAATGTCAAACATTTTAATGTAATATACAGTAGTCAACATTTAAAGTGGATCAAAAAAGTTCATTAAAGTTGTCCTAAGACAAGACCGGGTATTGTTCAAAATTCATGTATATAATTTCGATGAAAGGTTTTGATCCACTTCAAATGTTGACTAATGTGTATAGTGTATATTTATATATATATATATCAAAAGTTGGGGATCAGTAAGTTTTTTAAAGGAAGTCTCTTCTGCTCACCAAGGCTGCATTTATTTGACTTAAAATACTTTTTTTTGTTTTATTGTTAAATATTATTACAATTTATTTTCTATTTTAATATATTTTAGAATGTAATTTATTCCTGTGATGCAAAGCTGAATTGTCAGCATCATTACTCCAGTCTTCAGTGTCACATGATCCTTCAGAAATCATTTTAATATGATGATTTGCTCCTAAAGAAACATTTCTTATTATTATCAATGTTATGTACAATTTTTTTCAGGATTCTTTGATGAATAGAAAGTTCAAAAGAACAGTATTTATCAGAAATAGAAAGCTTTTGTAACATTATACACTACCGTTCATAAGTTTGGGTCTAGTAAGAATCTTTTGAAATAAATTAATACTTTTATTCAGCAAGGATGTATTGAATTGGTCAAAAGTGACAGTAAAGACATTTGTAATGTTACAAAAGTTTCTATTTCAAATAAAATGTGTTCTTTTGAACTTTCTTTTATCACAAAATCCTGGAAAAAGTTGTAGCCTACACAACTGTTTTCACCATTGATAAATTAATAATAACAAATGTTTGTTGAGCAGCAAATCATCATATTAGAATGATTTCTGAAGGATCATGAGGATCAAATGGATCAAAAATACATTATATATATATATAGTAGTAGTGGCCAGTTATTTAATATGCATGAACTTCATGCACAAAATGGCAAAAAAAAAAAAGTTGTGCAAATGTACTCATAAATAAGCAAGACTAGGGAGGACTGAAGAATGATGTGTTATTGAAACAACTAAGGTGGACTAACTCGAGCAATGCATGATAATAATAAGCAAGAGCTAAAGCAGATTTTGTACTGATGCTTTAATAATTTAAACGATGCATGTTGTTTCAATAAGAAGCTGTAGGTGCCACTCACTCTTGACTGGCACGGGGGTCAGCGTGCTCTGGGGGGCGGCTGCTGCTGTGATGGACACCCGGCTGAGCAGAGAGTTCGCATCCCCTCCATCTCCGTCTCCTTTCCCTCCTCCACCGCCATCGGCTGCCAGAGAGTCCACCTGGTCTTCTGCGAGACCCGCTTCTCGCCTCAGGATCTCCACCGACTCTGACAGTTTATTCCGCTTTAGAAACTGGAGCACTGCGATCAAAGTTTGTTGGTCCTCCTGCTTCGGGGCTCCGCCGGCGGGGGCAGCGGTGAGGGGTGATGAGGAGAGGGCCCCGTTCCCAGTGTTCCCCGAGAGGTTTGACGTCCCATCGCTAAGTATTTCAGGCTTTGTCTCTTTCTCTGCGTCCAGCTCCATCGGTCCATCTTGCAAAGCCGCCATTTTTTCCCCCGGCGCCGAATGCAATGACGTCATGACGCGCGCAGCGTAAGCACGCTATGACGTACGCGCGTGGCGTTTTGTTCCAGTAGTTGTTCAGTGAGAGAGTCGACGGAGAGAGAAAAAAAGAGTCAACGGAGGAAAATTTGTTATGATTTCGATAGATATCAGGAAGGCAAAAAAGGGGGCAAGATTTCTGAGGTATATTTACTTTTGGAACTTCATTTTTAATGATGACCTTTTTCACAGACGGCCTGGTTCTCCTGTCACCCAAAGACTGGCTTCAGGACAGCCTGAATCTGCTGGAGTAGTACTGTCAGTCCTGGGCCCTTACAGTCAACCTCTAAAAAACTAGGGTAATGATATTCCAGAAACGCTCCCGATCTTAGAGACCAACACACACATTCACACTATCACACAGAACCATTGAAACCACAAAAACACACACTTACTTCTGCCTAAAAATAACTTGAACGGGTAGCTTTACTTTGGCTGTGAATGAACTCAAAGAGAAAGCTCAAATGGCCATAAAAATATAAATTAAAATTGACATCCCAATCCAAATCTGGCTCAAAAACTATTCAAAACAATAATTGAACCAATTGTTTTATATGGCAGTGAAGTGTGGGGTCCTACTATAGGCCAATACCCTCTCCTTCTAAACATCCTACAAACAAATGAGCCATCAAATTCTGGCAACTTCTAAAAACAAGTGACCCCAACACATACCATTACAAAGCCCTAAAACACCAAGAGCTGAACCTATAACGAAGAGTGTGCCAGCTGGTGCTGAGACTGACTGACCTCAGGACAGACACACACTCACACACGTTCTGCCCACACAAATTATGAACACAGAAAAAGACAAGTACATCACCCATTGGACAAACACTTTTAAAAACCAACACAAACTGGAATGTTATTCGGCCTTTAATCGAGACTACAGTGTTGCAAGCTACCTGAGCACAGTGTAAAACTCAGGAAAACATTGACTCAGCGAGCACAGTCTGGCCGTAGAGACGGGCCGGGGCACCGACATGGATCTCCCGTGAGGACAGACGCTTGCACTGCATCCCGGGAGTGACAGAAACTGAGCTGCACTTCCACACAGAATGCCCAAAATATTAGAGAACACTATAAACCCAAAATTAATCAAATATTTCCCCAATTTAACATCTGTAGATCAACCAAAAAGAAAAAAAGCCAAATTCACAAATATAGCCGCAGGATTTGTAGCATCTTGCCTTCTCCTATGACATGAACCATGAAACAAACAACCAATAAACACACTCTCACAGCCCAAAACCAGCCACCTATTAGGCCAACACATTCTAAGTTGTTACATGACTTCTGTATTATAATCTTTTATTATTTATTATTATTTTTTTTTATTATTTTTATTTGTTATATCTAGCCACATGTTTATAATATTGTCTTTTTTTATTTAGTGTTATTATTATTAAACTAAAAATATTATTATTATTTTCTACAAACGCTTTACTTAATGTTCAGATGTCCTAAATCATTTTTCTGTTGTTTTAATGCGTTGGCAATACAATATGTATTTTTTGTCATGCCAATAAAGCTTTCTGAATTGAATAGAGAGAGAGAGAGGCTGAATTCAGAACCGCATACTCTTACTATTTCTAGCTGCCATAAAAAGATGTGGTAAAAGTAGTATGAGTAGTAGCCTATACTAGTAGTATGCGGTTCCGAATTCGGCGAGAGAGAGAGAGAGAGAGAACTGCGCTATCCTTTACTTCCCGCTAGGAGGTAATCATGGGAAGTCAAGTCCGACTCATTTCAGAGAATCGGTTCTTTTGAATAGTTTATTTCCAAAGACGAATTCAGGGATTCTTTTACATCATGACGAAATTACGCCACCACGTGGTCCTTGACATTCGGGTGTAGCCACATTTAAACGCACATTATACACTTTTTTCGATTAAGGTTTAAATTTTAATCGCAGTTCAGTCAGTTTGCAGCGATTATCCAACTCATAAAACATTATTATTTAGGTTAGAATATAATTAGCTTTTACATTAAAAATCCTGAACATTTATTTACATTTGATCTGAAACAGCACATCATAAACGTATTAACAGTACGTTTTATTTGTAGACATTTGGCTAGTGACTTACAATGACTTAAGTCAAATCTTTGAAAAGCCTACTATCAGTTGACTCGTCGAAAACGACTCCGACCCGTCCGATTCGATTCATTGTAAAAGATCCGGCTCAAATGAATGATTCTTTCACGAATCTCATCGGTAACAGGAGGCATCCGCGGCTGTGTTAGTAGAAAGGGAACATCTTCATCGGGGATTTTCTTTTTCTTTTTCTTTGAGGGCTCAAGAAAAAGCTAGCGACACCCGTCCGATCATTTAGAAGAAAGAAGCCTGAATAATTTGCGTTTTATCGGATCTAACGTTAGATCATTATTCAAGGACTGATGCGGTCATGGCAAGTCTCGGTGTCAGCTTTATCCGATACTCGCCGGCAACATCTGCAGGATATAAAGTGAAAGATAAACTATAATCGAGTAAGTTTATCTGATCCCGGTAGATTTAATCTTTGCGCATGCGAGATAACAGTTCTGGGCTCTGGATATGCCGATATATGAACTGAGATAGCGATAGGCTGAATGTGTGTTCAAGACAATGTGATTTTGGCTTTCCATAGACATTTTCCTGTGACTTTATCATCGGCAACTCTAAGACGGGGACTAATTTGTAACATTTGTTTTGTGCAGTGTTTTAAACGGCGTATTAAAGAACGGATATCTTCATCTCTCATCAGCTGACCACCTCTGAATTCATTGCATTAGAAGAGCTACACTGGAGTTTTCCTTCATTCGCGCAAACAGAAGCTTTTTTGGGGGGATCCAGACATTTACTCTTGTGTTAAAGGAGCCTATAAGGATCGTGGTTAAAGAGTAACGGGATCTTGGAGATGTCAGGCCGGCCTAGGACCACCTCATTTGCGGAGAGCTGCAAGCCAGTGCCGCAGCCTTCAGCCTTTGGCAACATGAAAGTCAGCAGTAAGTATTATAATCTCCTCTGTATCTCATATCATAATCTTTCTTAGCCAAACACCATTAGAAACACAAGAAATGCTCAGTTGGTGATGTGTATAATATACAGTTTGTGAGCATCTGTCATGTAATCTATCCCCTAATGTAGTGCTGCCTGGATCTCAAGGGATGGGTCAGGTCCTGTCTCTTATTATCAGATCTACTCAATGGAAATACATTTGCTGCATTGTGCATTAAGGAAGCACCCTGCCTGGGCATCATTGCACAGCTCAGTAGTTTTATAGCAGGGAGATTGCAGTGCCCAGACCTTTTTTTCAGCATAGACAATGACTGTTTATTTGCACACAAATTTATAGATATTAATCAGAATTTTGTCATATACGCATCATGTCAGCACTGATTCAGGGTAATTATAGTTGTTGTTATACTGTTGTGTTTTATACTGGTCGGTTTTGGTTGGCACAATTACATGACGCATACATAATCCTATTCTGATATTAATCTGAATATTCCTGTGACCACATAGATCTGTCATTTGAGGGCTGTCATTAGCTGGTTGTTTTTACAAGGAAGATGTTTCTTGATGAGCTCATGGCTTGTTTTAGTGCCCTAAAATCCTTGAATAGGTATTGATTTATAAGACCATGAATGTCTTGAGGCATAGCTTACTACTATATAGCTTGATATCTCACGCATTTTCTAACTGGATGAAGTTTGCGTAGGTGCACGAGCTGTAAAAATGTCCATTTCCACTCTTTGAACCCGTGCCCCTGTGGTTTGATTGACAGGCCTGTCTCCTGAGCCTCAGCCCAGCTGGATCACTCATTTCCTACACTAATGATGTGTATCTCACCACTGTGCTTCTCTGGAAAGGAGGATCAGAGAGATGTGTGTGACTCACCTCTGACTCTATCCCTTTTCCAAATGTCTCAGCCTACCTATAGTGTCACAGTCAATTTAACAATAGGGGAGGACACGTGGATTGACACTTTGTCCAGCACTTAACACATCCCAGTCGGTGTAATGGTGCTCAATGGAAACTCAGCGCAGCTTGTATTTTTCTTAACACACTACACACACTTTAAAAGCACTTTATTGGCATTAATGGATCCATAAAGAACCTTTAACATTCATGGAACATTTCCATTCCACTAAAGGTTCTTTATATTGGAAAAAAACTTTAGATTATTAAAATGTTCTTCACATCAAGAAAAATGGGTTCTTTTAAGAATTGTTCACTGGTTCTTTGGGGAACCAAAAACTATTCTTCTATGGCATCGCTGTGAAAACAATTTTTTTAGAACATTTATTTTTAAACTACTCCTTTTAAGCTTTTTTCAAATAATACCTTTCATGCAGTGTGTAATATAGCTATTTGTGAATGTAAAAAGTCTGCAAAGTTTTAAAGATCAAAGTGTACAACATAAAGTTATTGTCTCCTAAAGAACGAGTCATCAGCAATTCTTCCTGTTACATAACTACGTAACATTGTAAAAAATTTGCATAATGCCATCTATGGTCTTCATTGTCTGCCCGCGAACAACGTCTACTTTGCCCCGCCCTCAAACGTTGCAGCTGAGGCCTGTAAGAGTTCGGTTGATATTGTCGACATGTCAAGAAGACACTGTTTTCAGCACTGCGAATCCACTTTGCATGCACTTCAAAAGCATGAGGACTCGGGCTGGAATTGATACTGAAAAACTGACCAATCGGAGTAGAGTAGACCAATCACAACAGACTGAACCATCTGACCAATCAGAGCAGAGAAGATCAATCACAAGAGACTTGTCCGTCTGACCAATCAGTGCAGAGTAGACCAATTACAACAAGACTGGGCAATCTGACCAATCAGCAGAGTAGACCAATTACAACAGACTGAACCATCTGACCAATCAGAGCAGAGTAGACCAATCACAACAGACTGGGCAATCTGACCAATCAGAGCAGAGTAGACCAATCACAACAGACGGGGCCATCTGACCAATCAGAGCAGAGTAGACCAATCACAACAGACGGGGCCATCTGACCAATCAGAGCAGAGTAGACCAATCACAACAGACGGGGCCATCTGACCAATCAGAGCAGAGTAGACCAATCACAACAGACGGGGCCATCTGACCAATCAGAGCAGAGTAGACTGCAAAAGGAGGGGTTTAGAGAGACCGGATCTTGATCCGTTTTCAGACTCTTTGAGAAATTAGGTGATGCTGCAATACATTATGAGAAAGTTATGAGCATTTGGCCTTGGATGCATGAAAACCTATTATAGGAAAACTCCAAAACAAAATGTTATTGTATTTTTTTTTTTACTAACTACAAACTTTTGAACTATAGTGTATATATTTATAAATGGGCTTAAAGGGATACTCCACCCAAAAATGAAAATTCTGTCATCATTTACTCACCCTCATGTTGTTGCAACCCTGTATGAGTATCTTTCTCAATGGTTTGGCACCATTGGAAGTCAATAGTGCCAAACAGTTGTTTGGCACCATTGACTTCTAGGGGTGGGAATCTTTTACCATCTCACGATTCAATTCGATTCCGATTCTTGAGGCCACAATTCGATTCAAAATTGATTTTCCATTCAAAAAGATTTTCGATTTAAAACGATTCGATTTTATCCATAATGATTTCTAATCGGGTTTCTGATCATGATCTACTCTCATCTGCTTTGCTATACAGAATGTCAAACGGAGACCAGTGTTTCCTCTAGGATTTTTTCCAGCTGTGGTGGCAGGCCCATTTCGCCAGGGGGAGGGGGCATGGCCCATGAGTGATTGCCATTGGCCACGCCCCCTTACCCCAGGTGTTTAAACCTCCCCTAAGTATTATAACATTAAAACATGAAAGGCTCGAATAAGAGCGGCAAAGCGATTATGCGCATCCCGTGCGCAGAATGATGCACTTGAAGCAACGCGAAGTCACAGCGCGCAGCGCTCCGGATTGAAAAGTTCAAAGTACAAAGCGAAGAGATTATATCTGCCTATCTATGCTTAATGTATTATATATTTGCAACAGTTTATTGAGCATTTTCTTTTAACAGTTTTAAATTTCAGTTACAGTGCGGATGAAGAACAATTCATAGCGCTCTCCAGTGCTGTAATCTAACAGACACCCGGGAGAAAGGATTATGATTTAGAAAACGCTATAACGCGACGCGCTGTGTGAATGCTGAATGGAGAATGACTGAGGAGAGATGAGTTTCCATTAACTTTAACTAACGACTTAAATATTAATTTTTACCTCACATTATGCTATTGAATGACTTTAGAAGTCTTGGAATATAGTGCGAACACTTTATGGTGCTTTACAATGTTTTTTATGCCTTTAGCTTAACAATAACACAATATGCACATTAATATCGGACCTCACTGAGAAGCTGCAGCCGTGGCGGGATTATTTTAGGTGTGGCGGCCCGCCACGGCAGAATGAATGTAGAAGCATCATATTTAGAAGCATCAGAAGCTCTATAAAAGCATCCATATTTGCTTCCTCTGATTTGCCGCTCACGTTCAAAAACCGGCTGCGTGCATGACGTCCGGACGTCCCGTATAGGCTATAGTTACAAAAATGGAGGCGAACAGCCAGCTGATTTTATTTATTTATTAAATCGATTCTTGGACATTTCAGATCGATTCTGAATCGTTGCAAATGAGAATCTAGATTCTTCTGTGAATCGATTTTTTGGCACACCCCTAGTATTTTTTTTCTTCTTCTATGGAAGTCAATGGTGCCAAACAACTGTTTGGTTCCCAATCGTTCTTCAAAATATCTTCCTTTGTGTTCAGCAGAAGAAAGAAACTCATACAGGTTTGAAACAACTTGAGGGTGAGTAAATGATGACAGAATTTTCATTTTTGGGTGGAGTATCCCTTTAAATATAATTTAATATAATTAATTTCAATTATTTAAAGTTTTTATTTCAATTTAAATATTATAAAAGCCAAATAATGAAATAGTCTTCATTTTGTGTATGCAAAATATCATTTCTTTTTTGCTTTTGATATTTGGGGCGTTGCATTCAGAATATTGTGCATGTACGTGAGAGTATGTACCGGTGGTGCTGGCATTGATCTAATCAGCTGACAGCAAATGACTCGCAGCGTCAGCTTTACCAGCAGACTCATCCCGCTGCCATTAGCAACGCCCAGGCCTGAGGCAGCATGCCTTCCTCCACAGGGTGTGTCCTAAAGAGGGGCTACACCTGACCATGTGACACTCTCATTACTGTCATGCGGCAAACCGTCTGTCTAGACATGCATGTCAGAGAACAGCAGCAGGCCTTTCATTATAGCCGTGAAATTGCATTTCATAGCTCATATTAAAGAAAATACTGTGAACCTGTCAAAGCAAATTAGGCCTTTAATCCTATTTAGAGCTATTATAGACCTTCTTAGGATAGATGTCTATTTAATGTGTATGAAAACGAGCCTGTGTGGGGGACGGAAGTCTGTTCATTGAGGCAATTGTAGTGGTGTTGATCATTAATATATTGTTAACATTAAAAAATGTACTTAAAAAAAAAATTCAAGTGGACAAAAAAAAAATCTAAAGAATAGATTGACGTTGGTATCAGATATTGAATAATTAATTGTGCAAATGAATAGTTTTTAGTATTTTTAATTTAGTTATGGAAAATTATTGAATTTTTAATATTATCAGTATTTATTGGCCTTAACATAAATAAAATAAATAGGCTTCTCATCAGCCAGGATTGTAATATATCAGCGCATCCCTAAGCAGAATGCATTTAACAAATGTGCCTGTTTTTATGTTTATTAAGTTAATTATGACGGCCAACCTGATGTTCATTATAATATAAACAAAACTAAGAAGTAGGAAAATTCTGCAGAGCTAATCATTAGATATTCATAATCAGTTCATGTTTATTCATGATCAATTCATTTTCATCTGTTCTTATCGTTGCGGATGGTGAGGGATAATCATTTTGTATGTGAGATAATGCGTTTAATGCTCCAGCCGTCATGATGAAAAGTCTCTTAGACGGGAGAGGATTAAGCTAAGCTGTGTCTTATATTAAATGCCTCGGTTTATCTGAATTGCTAAATGACTAGTCAGTTCCTGAGCTGGACGGTGTCAGAGGAGCAGGATGGGAAGATGATCTGGGTTAGTAATGGGCCGTGACTCAATTAAAATTCCATGCTGAGTAAGTTTGGGAGCCCATATCTTTATTAGCTCATCGTGCGAGTGTGTGTTCACGCTCACACCCTCTGACTCATCACATTTCCCCGTGCTGAACGTGCGCTTGGTCTGCACTTTACTCCACGGTTCACCTGACCTGGCAAACACCATAAAAGTAGCCCGTGTAACTAGTGCACTACATTTCAAGTGTCCTGGAGCTGTACACTGTAAAAAAAATCCCGTTGATTTTTACGGAAAAAAACTGCCAGCTGTGGTTACCAGAACTTTACCGTCAAAAATACGGTATCAACGTTTTGGGTTTTACAGACTTACCTTAAAATTTACAGTAATAAACCGTAATTCATTATTTGATATAATGATGATTTACCAACTTATTGAAGTATTAATAACTGTTTTGGACCATTGTAATTCACTGACAACCAACAATCATCACAGCAGTGATGAGAGTCACATGATAAATCAAAGCTCATCACAAGCAATCTTCCACAAGAAAGTTAATACTATTATATTGAAGCTGCAAAGTGTTATTCGCACAAACATTAAACACCATCATGGTAACATCAATTTAACAACATGTAACATAAAACCATAATGTACATAACTGATTAGAAAAGAACTAAGAAAACTAAGAAGAAACTTAGTTATTTCAACAAAAATAAATCAAATGTGAAGTGTCATGCAGGGAATTGTGGGAATGTCAATTTACGGTTTTTCACTGTAAATTATACAATGAGTTGTTCTTTTCACTTTCAAAAACTGTAAATTTAACGGTATTTTACAGTAAAATTGCATTAAATGTACCGTTAGATCTATCACAGTTATTTACCGTATATAGTAAAGAAACTTTCTGTTAACCAATTAACAGTTTTGCACTGTAGCATTTTTACAGTCTTTTACCGTTAAAATCACGATCATTTTTTACAGTGCATTTCAGATCTATTCAGCAGTGTTGGGGAAAGTTACTTTTAAAAGTAATGCGTTACAATATTGTGTTACTCCCTAAAAAGTAACTTGCTGTGTTACTTAGTTTTACTTACTCTTTATGTAAAGTAATCCGTTGGGTTACTTTTGTGTTACATTTCTAACCTGAGCTGGGCTTGCTCGTTTGTTTTTTTAATAACAAAAAAAGTTCTATATTTGGCAAATTAAAGGCCCTTTCACATGAAAATTGAAATGAATAAGCCACAGGCTGAAGCAAATGCAAATGTACAGTAGAGGGCGCAGCTTAACACTTTTCCTTCAGCAATAAAAACATATAAATAAATAAGACTAGGGCTGTCAAACGATTAATCGCGATTAATCGCATCCAAAATAAAAGTTTGTGTTTACATAATATATGTGTGTGTACTGTGTATAATTATTTTTAATACTTAAATACCCTCACATGCATGTGTATTTAAGAAATATTTGCATGTATATACTGTATATAGACTGAATGTAGCCTATATATAATGTATATTTTATATAAATATAAACATTTTATATATAAATTACATATTTTTCTTAAATATATACATTTGTGCATTTCTATACAAAATAATTATACACAGTACACACACATATATTATGTAAACACAAACGTTTATTTTGGATGCGATTAATCGTGATTAATCGTTTGACAGCCCTAAATAAAACACAAATGTGATGTTTAACTCATTAAGTCATTTTTGCTTATTGGTATGGTTGAATTGGACCAGCAAAGACACTGTTTAATAAAGTGAGAATAAATACTATAAGTATATTATTTTACATATTTAATCCTTGCATGATTGCATAATAGAGTATTCTAAGTTTGCATTTCACTGTTTTTATTCATTTTAAGGAATACTGAATCTATTTTTGTGTTGGTGAGATGAGCATGTTCACATTTAGTCTAGAACTACAATAGCATCATGTTTACACAGCGCACACAACACCTCTGCACTTACTCACGTCACGATACATGGGTTACATTTATTTGAGAAAGTAACTTTAGATGTTTTGCTGTAAATTTAATAGTAATGCTTTAATGCTCAGATATACTTAAAGCGAAATTAAAGAACGGACTGATGTGACGTCATTTCAAACAAAATCAGGCCGAAACCAATTTCATTTGGAGTTCGTTTTGGGAGTTCGAAACAGCTTGCCAAAGCAAACTTTCCGGAAAAGTTCGCTCCGGCTGCTAAACACCTTTGTACTACCACTTAGAAAGCAAACACAAGCCGAGCTGCTAATTATTTCTTTTATTTTGAAAAAGTATTTTTGTAACACCAATGCATTCCTGACCTAGAAGATCTGCAGTGAATCATGATACTGTCTATTGTTTGAAACCTGTTTGGAAAACCTTGTACTTTCCTTCGGTAGGGAGTGTGTTTATCAAAAACTGAAGAACGGATTCAAAATTGCTTCTCTTAGCATACTTTTCCCAGAAATGAGTCTGCTCTAAACCCAAACACAGCATAAATGTGATTGTCTCACCTTTCAGAAACATAAACTTTGTTTGTTTGGTCATAAAATGAATCATTCTCATGCATAATTAAAATGTTTGTCGATGTAATCATATTCTGCTGCGTTGTAAATGTACACTACAATTCAAAAGTTTGGGGTTAAGTATTTAAAAAAATTATTACTTTTATTAATCAAAAGTGACAGTAAGCACATTTATAATGTTGCTAAATATTTCTATTTCAAATAAATGCTGTTATTAACAGTCATTTTAAATTGTAATAATATTTCTTACAATATTTTGATCAAATAAATGCAGTCTTGGTGAGCATAAGAGACTTCTTTCAAAAACATTTAAAAAAAATTGTACCAACTACCAACCCCAAACTTTTGAACGGTATTGTAGCTAATGAGAATGTGATTGGTTTATGTAAAATATCTTGACTTTATGGTGATAAAAAGTGAAAGAAGTCACTAATGTTATTTCCTAGTGGACGACATTTAGTTTCCATGACCTCAGCTTTGGCCTGGACTAGATCACTTTCTAAACAATGATCTGGCTTTAGTTTCCAATTAAAATTCTCATTGTGCTGATTAATGATCCCATTTGCCAGCTATAAAAAGTAATTATCCATAATTAAAACTCATGAAACTTTATTTAGTCAGTTTTCCATTACTGGACTGCAGACGCTTCCACCAAGAAACCAGACCTTTGCTACATTGGAGGGTCATTTAAAAAAAGTTTGTTTAATCGAGATAAAAATACTCTTAATAGAAATGGAAATTCACAGAGAAGAAAAAGGTCACTTTCAAAACATCTTTCTATTGTATAATTGAGGACACGTCCCCATTTTATGCTCATATTCCTCATTTTCATGTTCTCAAGCACTTGCTCAGGGGTGTGAAAACATGGTGAGGTGTGAAGCGGATGTGTTTTAGTCAAAATGAGCTCAGGTGTATTTGGACACACGCATGAACACACATTAATGAGGATATTAACACCTAGAGCTCATGTGACTGTGTTAATCAGACCAGTGAATTACAAAGGAATATTCATGGTACATTGTACTTTCTCTCTCTCCTTAGGAGATAAAGATGGCAGTAAAGTCACAACGGTGGCCGCGACCCCTGGTCAGGGTCCCGACAGACCTCAGGAGGTCAGCTACACGGACACAAAGGTCATCGGGAACGGCTCGTTCGGGGTCGTGTATCAAGCGAAGCTTTGCGACACCAGTGAGCTGGTGGCCATAAAGAAGGTGCTGCAGGATAAAAGGTTTAAGGTATGAATGTGTGTATCGTTGGTTGTCTTGTGTGTCCAGCTGGTCTTCCTTAGAAAATCTGAATGAGCCCAAGTGCGTCAGATTTGTGAGGCCGAAATAAGTTTAACGTTGTTTACCCTTGTGGTGATATGGTTGACATTTGCTTACCATTTAGCCTTGTATTGATGTCAAAAAAAAAATTCTCATGACTCTTTTCTTTTTTTCTCTGTCATACTTTTTATTTATTTATCAGAATCGTGAGTTACAAATCATGAGGAAGTTGGATCACTGTAACATCGTACGTCTGCGGTACTTCTTCTACTCCAGCGGAGACAAAGTGAGTGCCACTTTTCTTTTCTTCCCTCCATTTTTCTAAGCACCATCAAGTGCCCTATACCACAAACATGCTGGCCCAGTAGTTTCCCAGCAAATGCTCTGGGTCATGGGATATGTATTCATATGGTGCAAACCTAAGTGAATAGCAGTCTGATACCTGACTTTATAATGAGGGACTGCAGCAGAGCCCCACTGGTTTGGCTCTTGCACACTAAAATACACTCCAGACACCAGCAAACTCACACTCCCTTACTTAGAGTTTGTACTCTGTTGCTAAAAAACGAAGTATACATCGATGGTTGACAGAGGACGTGTCTGAAGCTTGGTGCTGATGCGACCGTCGTAGTGACAACTGCCAATCACATTACTTCCAGCTTGGACCACAACACTAAAGTATATTAAATATATATGGAATTATATTTTACATAAAGAAAATTAAGCCTAGTTTAGTTCCACTAAGATTTATTCTCCCTCAATTATTAGTGTAATGCAGAAAAAAATCTAATTTTCATTAATGTAATGTAATTTTTTTTTTAAATATATTATGACATTTGTAAGAAATGTGTATATCATGGCAATATTAATGTAATATCATAGTTATATTATGACATTTGTAAAGTATTTTTTATATCATGGTAATATCGATATCATGTTATTTGTAATAAAATGTCAAATTTTTTGTACATATTTTATGTGTATATTTTTATAAATATACATTTGTAATTGCAGTAAGATTACTTAACCCTGAAAATAAATGCAATCAAATAAATAATAATAATAATAATATATATACACTACCGGTCAAAAGTTTGGAATAATTATGACTTTTTTATAGTCGAGTTTTTATAGAAGTCTCTTATGCTTACCAGTAATGTGTTTTATTTGATCAAAAATACAGTAAAAACAGTCATATTGTGAAATGTTATTACAGTTCAAAAAATTACTGGTTTCTTTTTTTTATGTATTTTAAAACTTGTAATTTATTCCTGTGATGCTAAAGCTGAATTTTCAGCATCATCACTCCAGTCTTCAGTGTCACATGATCCTTCAGAAATCATTCTAATATGCCATTTTTTTTCTTTATTCAACATATAAACAAATATTTTTAAACTTTTTTTTTTGTTTGATGAGATTCTCCACTATGTTATGAACAAATTGAATGAAATGTCCCTCTCATGGTGCGGTGCACATATACAAAACGTTGTCGTTCATCTTCAAATCATTATATGAATAGAACTATAAATAATATGCACAATCTTACAGTATGTTTAGCAGAATACACTTGCTATGCCAGCAGGGTGGTATTTTTGTTGAGATTTACAGCACTTGCTGCTCAGGCTCTGCAGTTTTGACCTGTGGATGGGATTTCTGGGTAATCCTGCGATAGCCCCGGGGGCATAACCTGTCACAGCAGTGGCCAATGAAAGCTCAGTAGGAAACTTTTGATTGATGGAAAGATAAACTGTTAAACCAGCCCTATTTTTACTGTATGACAAGTTCTGGCTCCTGTGCAGCCAACCAAAGGAAGTGTGTGTGTGTGTTTGTCGAAGAGAGTTCACAGAGTTCAGACTTCCCTTTTAATGTATAATCTATTCACAGATCACACAAATAGGATCAGAGTCTTGTCAAGATCGTATAACGAGAATACTATAGCATTACATACCTGAGAGTAAGTTTTTACAGAGTAAATTTATACAAGCTGCAGACATCCAAAATCAGCCACTTCTTTTTTCTTTTCTTTTCTAAGAAAGAAGATCAAGGTACCACACAATGTAACCTAACCCTAACCACGTTCATATATGCATAGTTTATGTCAGAGGTCGTCCACTTCAGTCAGGAGGGCCACATTCATATATAAATATAGATTGCAGCCTCATGCATTGCTTGTGGTTTGGGAAATGATTGTGGTTGTGAAACATGAGGATTTTACTGAGTAAAGAGAGTCCTTTTCATCCGCGTACACTTTTGTTTTCCTTCACATTTTAGATTGAGTGAATTCAATTGAAGTGTCACATCAGTCAGAAAAGCAATCAAGGGCCTTTCCGTGACTAAAGCAGTGTTTAACAGTATATATGTCTTTTCTCTCTGCTGGCCTTCGCCAGAAGTTTAGATTTTCACTTGCTCTTTTAAAGGTGCTCTGTGTCATTTTTTTGACTGTACTAAAGCATAAAAATAGCTTATGTTTGCAGAGATGTAGGAAACGTGCTAAGTTCAAATACTTGTTTCTCTGAAAAACGATGCTGCAGCAGTTAATCGGCTTTGAAATGTGCGCTCTGTGTCGGAATGTCTGTTGTTTGTTTTGGTTTGTGTGATTTTGGTCCAATTTACCAATAGTATTTCGAGACCGAGGGTTGCCAATTGGCAGAAAACAGCAATGGAAGCCTGCAAACGAACTGGGCCGCAAATTCTACCCGACCTAAAGCCCTGGCAATAAAAACATTGCAAACATATACGTTAGCTGATCAACTAATACTGTAAAGCTCAAAGTATACTTCAGCCGTACGCACAACCCCTCCGTGTGCAGCCCAATTTTTGTGACTGCGCGGTCCCAGAAAGGAAGGCCTGGGTATACTTAATGTTCGACGTTGCGCTCTGCGTTTCACACAGTTGAGCACGCAAGCCTTTCAAATGGTCCATCCCAATTCAGAGGCTGCATCCTTCGAAGGCTGAATTCGAAGGCCAACTGCCTCACTGCTGCTCGATGAAGGCTGTCCCAATTCGAAAGCTCCTCCAAATGCGTCCTTCGTTTCCCGTGAAATGAAGGATACAACAGATGGATCCTTCACGGCCTTGCCTACCCCAGAATTCATTGCGTGCCAGTGACGATAAACTTTAAAAGTGTAATTTAATCAATTTCTCTCCCAAAAAAATCCTAAGTAAACTTAACTTAAACGTATTGGTATAAGGTTTCAACTAACTCAAATATCCAATGATACAAATGTAAAAAAAAAAAAAAAAAACAGTTCAAATGTTGACTTGTATCTTAATAAGATGAAATTCTATCTCAGTGTAGTTTATACTCTTTATTATATACAGAAATGGACCGTGGTAAACATGTTTAGACAGTTTGTGAACACTGTTTTGTTTTCAGACTGTTTAATATAACTTTCTGCCACCTGTCAACGGCAGCTGCCACAGTTCCTAGGCCACAAGAACAGCCCTTCGTAAGCTAGGCCGTCCCATTTAACAACGCTCGTTCCGACCATCATGACCTTCGTAGGTGTTTCCTTTAAAGTCCGCATCCTTTGAATGATGCAGCCTCTGAATTGGGAAGCAGCTTTGGCCGTGACCGTAGAAAGATGCGTTTGTTTTCAATTGCTCAAGCCACTTGCAGATGCGCTGTTGTACGCGTACCTTTCGCGCGGTCACAAAAATTGTGCAGCACGTGGACAGGGTGTGGGGACGTCCACGGACCCTCCTGATGACGAAAATTACGTCACACGGACAGTGCGCGGGCCGTCGTGGAACGCAGACGGCTAAAGTAAATGTCGGTGTCGACGGTTGACGGAGGGCGTGTCTGAAGCTTGGTGCTGACGTGACCATCATAGTGACAACAGCCAATCACATTACTTCTAGCTTGGACCGCAACACAACACCAAAAAGCCGGCTAGCGATTGGCTAGCGTCTGCGCTAGGGTATTTGCATAAAGGCAATCTGATCAGCTGATGCCGTAACAGTGCATTCACATGGGGCGTCGGCGTTACCACTTTTCATTTACTTTGAATGGGTGATGTGTTGCCGAACTGAATTGTGGGTTCTGGTGCGTCGCGTCACTGGCATTGTTTGTGGTAGAAGTTGAAAAAATTTCAAGCAGGCATCAGCCAATCAGATCACCTTTATGCAAATACCCTAGCGTGTTGCAGTCCAAGCTGGAAGTAATGTGATTGGCTGTTGTCACTATTGACGGTCACGTCAGCACCAAGCTTCAGACACGCCCTCCATCCCGACACCGTGTGAATGCAGTGTAAGGCTCGTCGCTCGTTTCTGTTGCGTACCCTCAATCTGGCGACCCACGTGAGCATCAAGTCTGAGGAGCAGGAGCAGGGGAAACGACTCTCTACAATATTTTGAATTTGGACTGCAGTACCCAGTTCAACCACTAGCTATCAATATGACCTTCAACATCTTTTAACTGCCTCATTAATATAATAAACTTATTTTTGGCAACATATTTTTATATATGTATATTATTTGTATAAAAATACACTATACTATTTAAAAGTTTTGGGTCGGTAAGATATATATATATATATTAATATTGTGAAATATTATTACAATTTAAAATAACCTTTTTCTATTTGAATTCAATTTAAATGTAATTCATTCCTTTGAGGCAAAGCTGAATTTTCAGCATCATTACCTCCAGTCTTGTAAAGCCTTGTTTATCCCTTTGTAAACACGTTCAGTTCACAAAATTTTAGCCGCCTAACCTTAAGACGCACGCACACACCGATGCACATATGAGAGGCCTTTGGGTATTCAGTTACTCTTGAGTTATTCTCGCACACAACGGCAGGGCTTATTTTTTTGTAACAAAGACAGAAAGGAAAACATTATCTATCTCAATGTGTGAGGGGTGCTTCGAGAGTCGTAAAAGAAAAGAAACGGTACAGAAAGTAGGATGCTGTATGTGAATGGCCAGTCATGATGGATTAAAGTGTCACTATGGCCTGAAACACATATTACACAAGTTTTCTAATTTAGGATACAAATAGTCCCTTGAAATAAGTCTGGTCATATTTTCTTTTACCATGTGTTTATGGTTTGAGGATATGGGCACTTGGTTAGTAACAGATGCATTTGCACAAAATGCTATAGTTTGCATGGTCGGATGGTGGATTATTTTTTGTTGCAATTAAAGACCGTTTAAATGAATACTTTTGTCCAGCGAGGGCGCATTACCTTGATCAAAAGTGACTGTGAAATAGTGAATAGTAGAAAAAAAATTCTACTTTAAATAAATGTTCTTTTTAACCTTACATTCATCAACGAATCCTGGAA